AGCTTTTTAAGTCCTCCAAAACTTCCTTCAGCTTTTGGATCAAAATAAATAGTTGCTAAAAGCTCCTCGATAGTGTCTCCCATGTTGGTTCTTTCACTTGCCTTGTTAAGTAGTCTTTTGTGTTTTTGTTCGCGATTAAATCAGCAATAGGTATGTTTTGTTCTTTTATAACTGCAAGCACTCTTTTTGTACCGATAGGTCTCTTTTTTGCTAGTTTCTTAGAGAAAAATTCAACAATTTCATTTATGTCACTTCCAATTATTGGCTTATTTTTGTCGTTCAGTATTGCTCCGTTTTTATCAATCAAGTAATCCATTGATCTTAAAATCAGGTTCAGTTCATTTTTTCTTTCCACTTTTGGGCTTTTTGGACTTTTTCTTGCTTTATAATCGTCTTCAACATCTTCCTTGTTTTCCATATGCTCTAAAAGATTTTTAGGAATCTCCACTGCTGAGTCTCCCGTATTTGCACCGCTCTGGAACATTTTGTTTTGTGATTCAACTTTGAGATGATCAATTTCATTCGATAATGCTACTTTCATTGTATCAGTTAGATTAGAGTTGACAATCTTATCAGTGAGATTAACATTTTCATTCTTGAGTCGAAAATATTCATCTTCAGGGATCAGAACAAGACGCGTAAGTGTGTTCATTTCAAGAAATTGTCCGCAAGTGTAGATGCCAGTAAGGTGATTATTGGTAATAGGAGGTTTGGTAAAAAGCCACCTTTTTGAATTAAAATTTGTTTTTGTTTTTTCACAGTATAATTATTGTTTGAAAGACGACGCAAAACATTCTTATATCGATGCAATGATGTTTTTTGTGAGCTCTTCAATTTGATTTTTCCATTAACGATGTTCCTTATAATCTCTTTTATAGCCTTCAAGACTTTTTGTGGCGCAATTTTAAAAAGCTTTTTCCTCGTTTTACTACTGCGAGCTTTAGCCAATTTCTTTAGCCATGGTAAACATCGGGCACAGGTTTTGACACTCATTATTCTTATATTAAGATGAACATAATAAGATGAAATTTCTTATACAGTTAATCAAGGCTGATAAGCAATCATGTATCCCTTTTCACGCATAATGCTAGTTAACAATCGTAGATTTGATGGCGTATCTGGTTTTAAGTCAATGAACAGATATGAAAACGGATCTCTAGTTGCATCCTCATAAATTGCTTGAAACTTTTTTATTTTTGTAGGAAACATTTGACGAGCTATGTTTGTTGCTATAGATTGATCGCGAGGATTTTTAAAGAGTACAATGTACTGAGAATTCAATGAAATATTCCTGCTCTCTTTTCCTCGCATGAAAAAGTTTTGCACTAGTAGTATGATGGACAAATTTCTGTGATGTGATCCTTTAGTGAAAATTTCACTAACCACTTTTGAATTTGCCGTTTCAAGCATTAAGTCATCGATAATCAACCATTCAGGTTTGCTACCGTCAAACATTTGCATTATGTTTTCTGGTAATCCTGGCATGAATATGGTCTTTTTAAATGAAGCAAAGATTGGTTGATATTCCCCGTAACAATATACTATGCGTTCAGGAGAAGGTAGGCAGAATAAATGATTTTGATTAATCAAATTCTTGACCCAAACAGTTTTTCCCGATCCAGTTGGGCCTGAAACTAGCATGGTGAATGGATGCTTTAAATGAACGAAGGCAGACATTTTTGCAAAGTTAAAAAAAATTTATTTCAGCACTGTTTAAATTTTCTTATACATGCTTTATATTGATAAATTTCTTAGTACAATTACAAATATTCCATTTCCGAGCTTGATACCATTTCTTCATCATAACAACTGTATTGAGAGAACATCGGGTTCGAGGTTTTTTGAGAAGAGTATGTAGATGACAGGGGTATTGTGTACCATCATCGATCTCTTTATTTGTGCATCCATGTTCCAAAATGTTTATTCTCGGAATATCAAGATCACGCAGTATTCTTTCAGCTTCGCAAGACTTTACAGCAACTAGAAATCTGTCACTGCTCCTAGCGTTTTGGTAAAATCTTTTGATTGCGATTGTCATCTCATCAATTGTTATGCCATCCTTTTTGCTAGCACTCAAATCAAGTCCATGGTGGGAGTTTGATAAATAAATTGCACACTTCTGTTCGTGAAGAGATAACTTTTGAGTTGATAGCTCATTGTTGATTGATAGGTGTAATACACTTTTTTCATCAAGAATAGCTACTTCTCTGGGTAAAAACACTGAAGAAGAATAAAATCCTTGAGCGTCGAAATAAGCACAAATGTAATCCATTGTGAAGAAAGTTGTAAACTGAGGAGAAGTTTGAGTTTTCACCGGTTTATATACGTTTTACACTAACGCAAACGCCCCCTGTTGAGCTTTTAGTTAAAAATCAAGATTAAAGCGAAAAATTACTTGTGACAAACATAGCAGAAGAGATTTATACTCCTTATCATTCATGATTTCAATTGCATGATGAACATCCAAGGAGTTTGTGTAGGTTGCTCGACTGAGAAATTTCTCCTTTGCAAAGTAGTCGATGATGTCAAGTGGGGTTAAAATATTATTTATCAATTTTTCTGCATGATGACGATAGTTGGTAACTATTTTCTTTATACAATCTTCATGATCAAAATCAGGTACGTCACGATTAGCTTGAATTACGCTATAGATGTAAACATCAAAAAGTTTATCCAGAAAGTCATTGATACGTTCTGCGTTTCCTTTTTTTGCTTCCATGATTGTAATGAAGGTTGGCAAGAATTTTCTTAGGGCACAGACATTGGCGCGATTTAGCAATAGAAGTTTTTCGCTTTTCTGGACACGAATTTCATCATAGGATGGACGTGAGACCATTAAAGAGCCATACTTTACGTCTTCTTGGCAGTTATCAGCAGCAACCTCTTTGAAATAATTATAGATCACTTTTAGCTCATTAGCAGTAACAACTACTCCGTTTTGAGTTGGAAAATTCTGCACAAAACGACGTATATTCAGGCGTGCACAAACAAAAGTATTGTCGGACTTATAGCTTAAACCTAATGAAAGCTTCAAGCTAGAGTCAACTGACATGGGTAGGACTGTTCTCCAGGTTAGAGACATTTTAGTTTATACTTGTGTACTTTCAGCTTCAAACGTTGATTAGCAACTGAAACAGACTCAAGCTTGATCACATCTTTTTATACAAATCTGTTGCATTCAAAAAATTGCGCAGAATCGGTTCATTTGGCCAAGTTGCACCAGTTATTATGACGGAGCCACTATCATAGCAAATAATACAATTTTTACCTTCCCTCCAATACAAAGCTGGAAAAAGTTCAGGTTCGTAAGAAGTATTTTTGTAATTTTTCAATACGTCATAGAAATTGAAACGATATCTCAGTTTATCTTGAGCAGTGATATTAGAAATTTTGATAAACTTCGGAGTCTTTTTATAATTTTCACGAAAAGCTGTAGTTGTTTCACTAAGAGATTTAAAACCTGTAGCTACACATTTTCCTGAAGTAAAAAGTAAAAAGCATCCTTTTGGTACACGTTTCACTTCAGCATTGTAGTTTTTCTTGCGATTTACATTATTCACATTTATTTTCAATTTTTCACCAAAATCCCAGATTGAAACTAAATTTATAATTTTCATTACGCTAGATTCAACAAAGATGGGTAACGTTTGCTCATTAACATTAAATAATATGTCCAAAAAAGCGTAAACATTAAAGCAACGAACAATAAAATTAATATATAAATGGCGGTCATCTTAAGTAGCTAGCGATTGCAAATGAAATGACGGATTTCCTTTCAAGTTAGCTTTTTATATACGCGAGAAAAATAGACAAATGAATATGATGTAAGAAGTTTTTATTCATGCGCACATATAAAAACAAAAAATTACATTCAAGTTGATATTATGCATCTAACAGCGCTATAAATTGTTGATTTACACCAAGGACATGTTGTGAATTGAGTTGCACAGTCATAACAAGTTATCATATGCTCACAAGGTTTAAAAACTACGCTTATTTCAGCAGATAGACAAATTTTACATTCGTAACGAGATTTGTCATCGTCAACTTCCTTTGGCGGTTCATATGAAGAGATGGAACGTACTTTAGCCAATTGTAACCTTATAAAGTTTCTGCCTCTTTTAAGATAAACATACATACAATCAGGAAAAAGATTAGCGTGTATTTGCCAGGGATCATCATTTGGTAACCAGTTTGCTATTGTCCCAGCGCAGAAATAGCAAGTAACTGCATCATGTTCACCTGAAGTAAATGGAGTAGAAGAGAAAAAAGAAAGATATGAGTTATTATTGTAGATGAATCATTAGTATAAGAAATGTTACCGTAAGAGAAAAAACCAGCCTCAGCATATTTACTCGGTGTGATCTGCGATACAATATGTCCATCATGTTTTTCAAAAGTTTCAATTCTTGCTTCTATTTGCTTCATGTTTGGAAACGCTATCGCCATCCTAGATAAGTCTGTGATGTTCTTGAAGTAAGCTGACCTTAGTATTAAATATTTTGTTGTTGATGCCTTCAATGGAATTTTGTGTTGGACATCAGATGGCAAACCTTTTTCGTAATCATCTCTTGTTCTTATTACACGGAAAAAAGAAGTATCTACGATGTAAAGATTTGCTATTCTCTCTCTCAGTTTTGTTTGATGTATCAAACGTTGATTTGCTTCGGAACCTTCGTCGGTTTCATTCGATTCAATATCACTTTCCATTTCATTGATCAACAATTCTCGTGGGTTTTCCACTGGTGTTGAGGTCCTTAAGTTGAGGGAATGGTTAACAGCTTCATCGTAAACGCTCGATTCGCTATCACTTACTTGTTCTTCTTCTTCCTCAACCGTGGCGTCATGGTCCGTATCTCGAACTCTTTCAAGGGGCAGAAAAAACTGTACGTAATTATCTCGGTCTAAAAGTGACAAGCCTAAGCCCCATTCTCCATTTCTCGTTATTCTACACCTCATTGAAGATGTATTAGCTCTTTCTCTAATGTAGCTTCTCATGTTTCCAGTTAAAGACTCAGACATTTCCGCTGCTGAGTCATCTTGTTGTTCTTGTTCTTCTCGTTGTTGTACTTGTTGTTCTTGTTGACCTTGAGATTGTGATTGTTGTTGATTTTCAATGTTGCTTTGTATTTGATTTATTGTTGAAATCTCTATCCATTCCCGTAATAGAGAATGTCTGTTATACAATAGAATGTGTACCCTATTATAAAAATTATTCATTGGGCTTTCCGCTAAAGCTTCACGTATGACATTTCTGAATCTCTCAATTGCAGATCTTTCATCCTCGCTTATTGTTGCCCCACTCATTTTCATTCAATTTCAAGATTTTCTATGCCGAAAATTACTCAAAATGATGAAGATGAAGAAGTGACTTTAACATGCAATCGCTGTTTCTTTTTATTCACTTGAAAAGTAGGAGGAGATGTGCAACTCCGCCTCATTACAATATTGCTTGCTATTATCTGTATTGAAGAGTTGATTAACACAACACCCTTTGCTTTGTCTTTCAACCAATCACTCATCAATTGATCTATGATCTCATCATGTAAGTATTGTTATCAAATTACAGATTATTGACTTTGTTGAGCTGAAAATTGTAACATGAAGCTTCTATTGCATAGATGATTGTAACAAGTTATGTGACGTACTATTCAGTTCAGCAATTCAGGTTAATACGTCATATTAATATTACAAAGCGTTTATTACCCTCTTTCTTTTCTTTGTCTTGTCTTAATCACCTTCGCTCAAATTACATTTCCTCTCTTTTCTTTCTTCATTCACCGTAATTATCGTCATTCATCGTTCTCTTTCTTTCCCCCTTACTAAGCAGCCTTCTCTGGCCCAATGTTCTGGCCCACTTGGACTTTACCCTAGGGTAAAGTTCGAGTGGGCCAGAACGGTGGGCCAGAGTGGGCTGCTTATAGTCTACTTATTTGTGTCCCAAAAACCTACTCAACTAATAAATAAATAACTTTGAATACTATTCTGTTGATTATCATGGAAGGATATTTACACATCTGATCGCCAGTTATAATCTTCTATTCCTCATCCCTGTAGGGACATTACAGAAGCAATGATTTTTTTAATTGAAGTCATTTTTTAAATTTTTAAATAAATCACCTTTTGCCCAAATGATTCATGAATCACTCTTGATTAGAACCGGAATAGATGATTTTTCATAAAATGAACTAAATTCTTTATATGAATGTATCTGCTCTATTGGAGAAAAATCTTGAAATGAACATCACGGGAACAATTCTGAACATAAATGGAAGCCCATATTTTATCAATCAAATATCACCTCACAGTTTAACCCAGATTTGACTCAATAAATGAACAAAAATGTTTAGTCTTTTTTATCGATAACAATAATACGTGATTTCGTTACCAATAAATGATTGATGTGAAACAATATTGTTCAATTGTTCAGATGTACAATTCGTTGCAAAACCAATTGTTCTGATTAACACTATCAACCAAATTGGAGCATTTTCCAACTAAAACAATATTCTAATCAACAAAAGACGGAAAATTTAAATAGTAAAAGAATCGAAACTCATGAGCTCATGATCAAAATTGATTCAATTTCAAGTCGACTTTTATTGTCAATAAAGTTATCGTTCATTATTATTTTCCCATTGCGATTGCACATCATTACCATTATCATCATTATTATACTCCAACGTGATTAGAATTGTTTTATTTTCTTATTCCATTTTATTGGTTCAATCTTGAAACAAAATCATGAGCTGATACGATTGTCAACCTAAAATGAACATCAAGTTTTGTATCAAAAAAATGTAATAACATGTTGCATCGGAAGGGAAAGGACAATAAAAATGTTCAACTTGCAACTTGAATTGAATCAATTGTAAACCAAGTTTAGTTATTGAATCGTTGAGCCAATTATATCATGGTTACTCTATTGAATCGAGTTGAGACAAAAATTTTGATCTACTTTTCTGTTATCATCTTTTATTGATTTTTGACAAAATGAACAAAAGTCCAACAGTCGACCATTTTGTTTAAACTTTCATCAAGTTTAATGAAGCTCGAGATTATTTAAGGTTTTATCAGAACTTTTAATCAGCCATCATTTCATCAGTGTATATAGATACTTATCAATATTTGCTCTCAGTTCTTTTCAATCGACGAAATAATCGATTTCACGAAAACACTTTTTGTTCGTTTCTTTTGCTTTTCTTTTTTTCTCATTTTCATTGTCATTCTTTTTACGCCTTTTTCAACTTGTTACCTGCTTGACTTGCTTGACAAACCTCATGCTTGAGATGATAAGAAAACTCTGAACCAAGAAAAAGGAAAAAGACGATTCTCAGTAAATCATTACGATATTGACAGTGATAAACATTTCAAGTTTCATCGCTCAACTTTTGGCAACTTTGGTTTACCATTAAAGACACTTTTAGAGGAAACAACTTCTGTCAATATTTATCCTCTTCTGTATCGGCATTCAAAATAAATTCTGTTGCATGAATCGAATTTTTCCTGTTCTTTTAATTTTTAAACAAGGCTATTTTAGGCTGAAAATTACATGCAATGTTTCGAAAATTGCTAAATATGCAATCGAAATTGAAAATTGAATTTAGCTTTGGATTGAAAATATGCATTTAACCAACAGTTGAATTGAATAAAGGATAATTTATTGATCGCTTGTTTGGTTAAATCCAATTGCATCATAAATCATTGAAATGTTTCAAATAAATTATCGACTTAATGACTTTTTATGGTCAGTTTTGTAGTTTTTGTTTAGTGAAACATTTTGCTTTTCTTTAGCCGACCATTAATTTCACAGTTTTAGATGGCTGCAAATACCTTTGAAAAGATTCAACCAATAATCGATTTGTAAGTTATTTGTTGAATTTACTTGGAAAGTCATTTTGATCAACTTTTTTGATTTATGATTCAAGTTTTTGAGGCAAAAAATCTGACAATTTTGATCTTTCATTTGATTTTAAATGTAAATTCAATTTCGAAGGGTTCATTGCAATAAAATTGATGATAAACTGTGTTGACCTTTTGACTCCAGAAAACTATACAATTGCAAGGTTAACCTAGCAATTAATAAGTAACGAAGTACAATAAAGTTCAATTTAAAAGGTAAACAGTTCAGCCTGGAAAATGTGAATAACTAGAAGAATTATATTTTCATTTTCACTTGGGACTGGTTCCATTTTTGTGATTATACAATAACAATGCAATCCTTGGAAGAGGAAAAGTCGCTAAATGTAAAGTCAAAAAATTTGCTGTTCAAACATTTCATCCATTTCTTGAGTTGATTTGGTGAACATTTGATGAGCAAACAAAAGGCTAACTCAATGATACTCAAACATTATTGAACTTTAAAGATCGGTCCAAATTTTTTCCAATTGCAATGTAAACCGATCAGAATTTCGTGAAGCAAGTTTTGTTGGAAATTGAGGAAATTCAATTTCTGCAGAAAAATTTCATTCAATTTCTACATAAGGAATCAACAGTTGACTCCAACAATCACTTCCAATCGTAAAATAAATTCTGCAAAAAAATTCTGTAAAAAATGTCAAAATTATTTTCGTTAACCTTGATTTGAGAAACTTCAAAATCTTTTCTGATTTCATGTTAGATAAACTTGAGTGAGAATTCATTATTTTTGTTGTTCCATTTCGAATTTTTCTCAAAACTAAATTCTTTGCAATTAATAACTTTTTTCTGTCATTCTGTTCGTTTTCAGGTTCAATTAGTAACATTGGTGAAGGAACATACTTCTGTAAAGACGGATCAACTCCAGCACTTGAACAACGAGTTATCTCTGGTGTTCTTGGTGCTGCATCCAGTGTTACCTCAATTCAGGTTGCAAATCTTTTAAGACTCTTCAGAATACCTCAAGTAAGTAAACTTAGCCTTTAATGTATCACAAGTAAACAATGTAAAACAATGAAAAGCACTCAAAAAAGAGTAAAAATTTTAATCTCACATTTGTGTTGGATTCATTCATTCATTGGATAACGATATTTTCAGATTTAAAGCAAATTTTTTTCTGTTCCTTTCAAGTAGAATAACAAGAAAAATCTGAGATTTATACAAGAATATTGGTCGTTTTACATGAACTTTTTCTTCTTTTATCACACATTTCATTTTATCTGTTGAATCAACTGAAAAAAGTGAATGCATTTTTGGTTCAAAAAAAAGTTCTGGTTTTCACTGGAAAAGAGCATTTTGTCATTTTTTTCTTGAATAATGATGAATCGATTTGTATTATTCAACCGAAGCGCTTAGAAATGGATAAAGGATAAAGATAAAAACGTTAAAGTAAAGAATGAAAAGAGCCTGAGAAATGTTCAAGCAAAGAGAAGAGAAACTGATAAAAAAATTCACATAAAACTGTTCATGGCATGAGGCATAATGATGAATGTCTTGAAGGAGATATCATTGAAGGGATAAAAAAATATGACAATATTCAATAGCAAAACTATAAGTGAAAAAAGTCAATGTTCGTTTGCAATTTTCGATAAAAAATATGTCCATTTTTTGTTCGAACAAAGTTTTGCCGAACAAAAACTGTCCATTTTCACCTTTTGCTCGAAATTACTTTTTGAACATTTAAGAGAAAATGATGAAAATACATTTTTTCACTTTCATGGTTCATGGTAAGTTGGCATTTCAGTAAAGTGCTCATTCATTCAATATCAATGAAATATTTATCTTCGTATTCAAACTTGATTTTCATGTTCTTTTACTTCATAAGAATGTCGAAAATTTTGAAATTCGAACAGAAATTGCATTTTCTTTTGCATGAATTTCGATAATAATTTTATCGTTTCATGAGGTTTAATTTTTTTCTTTTGCTTTTTGTGTTTTATTCAACTTTTAGATAAGCTTTTTCTCGACTTCACCTGAACTCAGTAATAAGGAGAGATTCAAATATTTCCTGCGAACTGTTCCATCAGATAGGAATCAAGCTCAAGCCATGGTTGATATAATTTTGAGACTTAATTGGACTTATGTTAGTGTGCTTTACGAGGAATCAAATTATGGAGCAAAGGTAAGTTTATTTTTACTCTTATTTCATCTTCTTTTCTTCCGTTCAAAGCCTCATTTATTACGCTTATTAGTTGGCAATATTTTGCCCACAAGTAAACTTGAAAGTTAAAGAAATGGTCGAAATGGGTTGAAAGTAACAGCAAAAGGCATTAAATTAATACAATGTTGAAAAGCAAGTTAATCTTATTTATTATTTACTATTTCAAGTTCATTTTGCTTTTCTTTTTTCCCTTTTTACTCTGTATTTCGTAATATTAATTGGCAAGGCATTCGAAGTGCTCGATGATTTACTCACTGCCCGAGGCATTTGCATTGCTGTTCGTGAAAAACTTCCAAAGGATTCTGGTGTTGCTCATGAGAAAACATACGATTCCATTTTGCATAAACTGTTGGCCAAACCAAGAGCAAGAGGTTAGTAACTTCAAAAAGTCATTAACCAATCGTACAATTACAAAATTTGGATTTTAATTTAATTTTTTGGTTCTTCTCTTGTAGGTGTTGTCGTTTTTGGCTCCGACCAGGAGGTTAAAGATTTGATGGAAAGTGTTAGACGTAATAAGGTTACTGGTAGATTCCAGTGGATTGGGAGTGATGGATGGTCTGCCCGTGCTTTGGTTCATGTTGGTAATGAGGCTGAAGTTGAGGGAACTCTTTCAGTGCAGCCACTGGCCAATCCTGTGAAAGGATTTGACGATTACTTTCTTAGTCTGACACCTAAAAATAACAAACGAAATCCTTGGTTCATTGAATTCTGGGAACATTATTTCGCCTGTAAATGGAACAATAGTCAGATAACACCATTTAACCAAGAATATGAAAAGTAAGATATTGAGATTCGTTGAGTGTAAAAAGGTTCACTGAATGGTAGGCAAACTCAGACACATAAATTTACCCTGAAAACGCATTAAGTGCATCAAAATTGGTTACAACTAATAGCTTTTACACATTAAATAGAAAGCTGAGAAAAAATCGAAAAAAGCAACTTATGTTTCCATCTAAAACTTGAACTATTTTACATGAAATTGCCCTAAAAGCCAAAAAAAATATCAAAATAGATTCACTTTTTGCTTGTTTGCTTAATTGGCAACATTAATTAGCGCAATAGATGACTTTTTAAGAATTGATTCTTGCTAAGATTGCTTTAAAGTTGATCGAAAATCGAGTTTTAAAAAGAGTTGAAAGCTTAAAAGGATATTGGAATCATTTTGCCAATCACAAGTCTGTTAATCGGGATAATTAATCAAAAGTTAATTAACCTTGTTTGAGCAATAGTTCAAGATGAACAATGAATTTTGAAGGAAACGGAAGCTTTCCTTACATGGGTGAATCGCTAATGATAAAGTTTATGATTAATTGTTGAGCGATTTAATCGTTTAGCAAAAGCTTTGCTATGAAAATGCAATTATTAATTGCATCTCTACTTTTGCCGCTTCTTACTTGGTGACATTGATTGATTCGATCAATTGGAATTGTTCTTTTTCTTCTCTTCGAAAAACTAGATTCTGTACTGGAGAGGAACGAATGAGCTATCAAAATGGTTATCAATCTGAACGTCAATTGCAATTCGTTAGTGATGCAGTTCTTGTCTTTGGTTATGCACTTCGTGAAATGCACAAGGAACGCTGTGGTGGACAGCCTGGAATATGTGATAATATGAACGTTAATGATGGAGACATTTTATTGGAATATTTGAAGAAAGTTCAATTTACAGGTAAATCTTGAGATATTGTTGCCCTTCAAGTCCACTGCTCAACATGAAATTACTTTTCAACTTTTAAGCCTAACCTTTGTCTCGACTGTCGGTGCAAAGCAATTTAACAATTTACATTTTCTTTGCAAGTAAAGTGAACATAAAATTGTCCAAATTGCTTCAAAGTATTTCAAAATTTTTACAATTCATTGCACTCGAAACATTCTGAATTCAAGTTTAAATCAAATCCTAAAATCGATCGTATTTGGTGCACAGGAAATATTAGAATTTTGAAAGCAAAGAATAAATTTTTTCTGTTCAAATTGAATAATAAACTTGATCAACTTACTTGTTAGTAAAGACAATAAAACTCGTAACATTTTCTATTGATATTTATTCATTTCTATTGTCCATTTCAGGTCTTTCAGGTGATGATTTTCGTTTCAGTGAAAACCAGAACGGACCCATTCGTTACAACATATTGCACTTCAAGAGAATCTCAACCGATGAATGGGCCTGGGTCAAAGTGGGCAAATACGAGGATAAAATTTTAGATTTAAACATGGATTTAGTTCGTTTTACACAGGAAAATCCTGAAATTCCGTCATCAGTTTGCAGTCCACCTTGTTCGAAGGGTCAAGCCAAGAAGTACATTGACGGAGAAAAGTGTTGCTGGCACTGTTCCGATTGTGGCAAATACCAGATACTGGCAAGTGAAACAGAGTGTTACAATTGTGCCAATGGTTACTTACCAGATGAAAGTCAATCCGTTTGCATTCCAATTCCCGAAGAATACGTCAACATAAACTCTTCCCTAGTTATCGGAGCGATAACTTTTAGCTCAACAGGAGCATTGACAGTCCTCTGGATCATTTGTGTCTTCATAAAGTACAAAGAAACTCCAATTGTTCGTGCTTCAGGTCGAGAATTGTCTTTCGTTTTACTTGTTGGCTTACTATTTTGCTATTCCATTACCTACCTCTTGATGCTTCGACCCACCAATTTTGTTTGTGGCCTCATTCACACCATGATTGGATGCTCATTTTCCATTGTCTACTCTTCCCTTCTCACCAAAACCAATCGCATTTCACGCATCTTTGATGCAGGCAAAAAGTCTGCCCAACGACCCAGCTTTATAAGTCCACAATCGCAACTGTGCATTTGCATCTTCATGATTCTCATCCAAGTGATTATCACTCTTCTCTGGTTTGCCTTTCATCCACCCAAATCGGTTCACATGTATCCAACCCGAGAAGACAATTTGATCACTTGCTCATCCAACGAGTCGGTCGACTTTTTCCTTGCCTTTGCTTATCCTTTTATACTCATCTTTGTGTGCACCGTTTATGCCGTTTTAACCCGCAAAATTCCCGAAGCTTTCAACGAATCAAAATACATTGGATTCACTATGTATACAACTTGTGTAATTTGGATTGCATTCATTCCCATCTATTTTACAACTCGCCAAGACATTACATTAAACATTACAACGCTTTCCTATTCAATCAACTGTTCAGCTACAATAGCAGTAGCTTGCCTTTTCTCACCCAAACTGTACATTATACTGTTACATCCAGAGAAAAATATTAGACAATCAATGATGCCTCACAATAAGTACGGTACAACAAAAGTCCAAAATCCACCAACACTGATAACCTGCACTTCGTCTGGTCGAATGGAGTCAGCGACGCAGTCTGAAGGTACGAAAAATTTTCCTCATTTTCTAAAATTCTTCCCAATTCTTCAAAATCCTTCTCACCAACTCAAAGTCCAACAACAGTCAATGCTTCAAAAAGTAAATCGTAATCATTAGAAATAAATTTTTTCGCTCAACTTTGATTCCTCAGAATTCAATTTTTATTTGAAATTTCATTCATTCTTTTATCGACTTCCCGATTTTTGGCGATTTTCAAGTTATAAAAGTTTTACGACTTTAGTCACTTTCTTGTTGCTTATTTAATTTTTTTATAAATCAATCACTTTTTCTGAAAACTTGAGAGTCAAGTCGAAAGTGGAATCGAATTACAATTAAAGTTTTCCGAATCATGATTGATGAGACCATGAAAAGGAAATTGTTTGCAACAAAAAGTAAAGCAAAGAAACGGCTCTTTTATTAACATGATCAACATGTAATAGCTCTTTATATTCATATTGAATCAATTTCAATAATCTTCCAATTTCATTCCATCACACAAGTTCCCTAACAGGAACGAAATGTGAACTTTATCAAATTATCATGCACAGGGAGTGAATAATATTGCATGACTTTACCAGGCAAGGGAAAAGTGTTAACATAAATGTTTAGTTGATTCAAATAATCTAAAAATATCTCCAGTTTATCCGTAACTTGAGATGAAAGTAAACTTGTTTCACCTTGAGGAATCCTTTTAAAACAAATCTCATTCAACTTGAATTACTTGACGTTACCTCTTCATGTTTCTCCTTTATCTTACTCTAAATTGATGTTAACTTTAAACTTCATCACTTTGGTTTTCACAACCGATTGACATGTAAATGCATCCAACATGTTTACCATGTAAGAAAAGAAGATTTTTTTGTTTGTTTCGTTCTTTCAAATTCAACAGAATCTTCATCTTGTTCAACCAATTTTACTTCAACTTTTTTCCTCTCGTCTCTTCACTCGACTCATTAATGTTTTACAAACAAAGTGTTATTATAATTATATTTGAGGTATGCATATCTTGAACTAGCCTCAAGAGTAATCAAATAATCTAGTTGAAAGGGTAAAGAAGAAAGAAAACAAAATTCAGATAAAAATAATATTATTCATGGAAATTAATTAACAAAACAATGAGAGAGAAATGCATTAAGAACATTTTCCTTGCTCATTAAAACTTGTTTAACATTTTTCCCAAGACATTTCCTTGAAAGTAAAAATTACTTGAAACTCGAACCAAAAATTGACTAAAAATTAACTTTGAATCTAAATTAATTTTCCAACTTTGACCTCTTCTGCAACGAGATTTCATCTCCACTTCAACCACAAGTTCAACTCACAACTTTGTTGCATTTAAAATGTAAATGCTTTGTGAATGGAAAATGGGAAAACTCGATTTCTCTCCAAATCCAAGCTTATTTTATCTCAATTTAATATTCTGATGACCTGAATCATCATTTTTACAGAAAAAAATTTTCTTTTCAAATTGAACATTCTCTTGATTGTTGCATTGATTCAGTATTTTCAGAGTTGACCGTTACTTCAATCTTGATGTTATTTTTGACTCTAATTTGCACAATAATTGGAATAAAGCATTTCTCTAGACAGTGTTGAGTCTTTTCATTTGAGCCTCTTCTCGTTTCAACTTGAAATGTCTTGGATTCATATTTGCTTTTTTGCCTCAACATGAAGTGATCCATTAAAGTGTCATTTGTTATGGTTATTCATGAAAACTGGAAACTCTTATCTTGAACTGGTTCACAAAAAGGCATAAGTTAGTGTCACCAAGTTGGTCTTGAACAAGTTGACATTTGTGCCATCAGTAACGACACTGATGAATGCAGATTTTTTTGCTTCTTCTTTCGTTAATCATATTTTGATGGACAAAGTTAACAAAGTAAAACAATGCAAATATTTAATCAATCATGTTGACTTGCAACTTAATCAATCAATCTAACCTTGCAAGTTAACCCAATGTTGCAATTGAAATTTGAGTTTTGCCAAAATTTTAATCATTTTTTACCTTCCATTTACTCTCAACTTTCCAAAATGATTTACTCAAACTTTTGTCTTGTTCAATTGTTTTACTTCTGCATCAATTGCATCAATTAAAGAAGGCAGAATTGATGAGATTCCAGTAATGCCACTTTGTAATTCAAACAATCAACCCATATTAACTTAAGCTTTTCTCAGACAAAAAAGCTCATGTTATTCACATTTTTCATTGTTTTTTGTTGCTTCATGAAAACAAACGCTTCTAATCCGATTAATGGGTTTACTTTTGTTTGTTGTTTTTCCTTGGTTTTTGATTTGCTTAATATCATCACATAGTCAAGGGAGGCAAAAAGTAAACTAACGATGATGCAAAAAGAAAATGACATTTAAAGCTATTCCAATCGTTACCTGATTACCTGCAACATTTTCCGTTCCATGAATCATTGAAAGAGAAAAATGAACTCGAAAAAAGTTCTTTTTCTGTGCAAACTTGCAAAACTTTAATCAAAATGATTGACCAACTTTTGAATGAACTTTGAATTTGGAAAACAAACAACTGAGCAAAAAAAGATTTTGTTTGCTAATATTTCAAATAACTCAAATTGAATATCTTCATGAACTTTTCCTTTTCCATGAAACTTGCATTTGCAATTGCAATTTCACAAATTGAACTTTTCAAATTGAAATCAAGATAATCTTTGATTGTAGAATGAATTTGATTAAAGCGAGCTCCATTGTAAACTTGATTGATTATTCTAATGGAACAATGAAACAATCAACTTGATTGTCAACTCTTTTTGTCTTTTAGTCTTTTCTTTTTTCCATCTAGTTTCATTTACATGACATGAAACTCATCAATTACTCAGGCAAGGTCAACTTGGACTTTTTGACCTTTTTCCATTTCACTTAACCAACTTGTAAGTGATCGAGTTTTTTAAAGGAAAACAAAATTTCGTCTCAAATATACAAATTAAAAGTTCCAATTCGAGATTTTTTTTCGAAATTCATTGTCCATTTGTCAATGATGTTACATGGAAAATGTTTAAAATGCAATTCTAATCGAGAGGTAATGAATGGAGAATTTTTTCCCTTTTTTCGAAAAGAAAAGGTTCTCGTGATTAGATTGGCTTCGACTCTAGATTGTATCAAATAACAATTTTCTCATTATTTTCACGCTTATCTCATCAAATTGAATACAGATAAATTACTGAACAATCATTTGCGTGTCTTTACCCTGCATCAGCTTCCAGTATCCTGTTAACGAAATTGAATCTTTTTTTCTCTATTCTTTTTCCAATTTTTCCTTTTCTTATTTTCCTTTTTCGGTTCTCACTCAATTCTGATGAACAAACAATTTCAACTGTCATTATAACAATAATAACAGCATTTAAAGTCAATGATGAGTTTTGTCTTAAATTATCGCAACGGAAAAAGTCATCCATTTGTCGGTTAAATGTAATAACAACGGATGAATGAGTAAAGGGTTCAACATTAAATTGAATTTGTCGTTTCCATCATTTCCTTTGTTTCCTGTAATCATCAGATTACAGCAATTAAACATGATGCAACCTTTAGAAGTTGATAAAGTTCAATTTTATAGAGAAAAAAAGTTTTTCTATTTTTTCGAAACAAAATTTACTCCCAGTTCTAAGAAGGTAAAATTTTCATTCTAATTGATTATCTAATCTCAATTTCCTGTTAAATTATTTTGATTGAAATTTTCTTTACTCGATCAACTCTGGTAAATTGTCTTTTATCTGTTGATTAAAATCTCATGAGGTAACATTGAAAACACATTAGAACTGACAAGTTGCCAAAACGTTAACCTTGTAATCATTCGAGATGCAAATTGAGAAAAGGTGAAAAATCGAGTCAGAAATATTCCAAACTCTGACGGACTTTCAAACTGTCAATCTTGAATTTCTATAAAGAGAAAAAAATTCAGAAGAAAAAATGGAAAATTATTTTCATCATATTCTGACAACACTCCCAGGCTAACTGGGAATGAAGTTATGAAAGCGAAATCATTACCAATGATTTGAAGATGAAGTCATGATGAAACAATATCGAGATAATTTCCATAGAGAATTGAGCGACAGAAAATTGATATACAGAATAATCAGATAATGAAGAACATTTTTTTTCGATAAATTCTCATGGAGTGAAATTATTCTGTGCCATCATCATTAATGGTTACTATTGGCTATTAGAAACACACTTTTTTTCTCTCGCCACTAATTGTTGTACCATTGTTGGAATGCTTTTTATGTCTCGACTATTTACTCTTTTCCCTGAATAATGGATTTCGGATGGAATCATGAATTTCTTTTTGTCTCTTGTGAACATGGAGACACACAGGAAAATGTTGCAGCCTTTTCGTTGGGAACAACGTTTCAAGACCTCCTACAAGTGCATCTAATGTCTTCCTGTCATCACCTAGTCAACATTAGTTGATCATCTTGATCAAGACTCTGTGTTTACTCAGACTAAACAAGTAATCAAAAGTAATGTCCAATAATGAGACTAAAATTGAGTTGAACTTTGGGCTTTAAATGCTGTTGGACTTGCCATTGACTGGACCATAAATAACTTTGAACATTACTGGTCGAGTCTTTATGCATGCAATAAAAAAAAAGAAAGTTCAACTTTTACTGACAAAACTGTAAAAGTGTTTCAACTGGTCGACAAAAGCTGACCAATAATGGCCAATAATAATGATGATGAGATAATGATGCAACTTGTTTCCTTTGCCATCATTAAAAGTAGATTGAAATTGCTGTTGTCTTTACATTTTCAGAAGTCTATTGTTCACTTTTGTCTGTGCAACCAATGGCCAGCAATTTGTCCAATTATTCAGTCTAATTGTTGATTACTAAATGGTCCAATTTGTTGATGATTCCAATGAAAACAACATTTCGATTTATTTTCGACTCGAAATTGCATTTACAGTTAATGAAATTTTTGCACTTTCAATTATCTTATTAAAGGAAACAAATTGCTTTAATAAACTAATTGCTCGAGTATTTAAATTAATGATGAAAAGTTTGTTCATTTGCTTCGAGATTTGAAAATGTTTTTTTTTCACTTTTCGAAGTTCGATTTAATGAAACTTTTTTGGGTTCGTGCTTGTAAGAGTTTGAATAGGATTCGATTTTGCAGTCAATGTGTCACTCTATTAATGATTGTTCAATTGACTTTGAAGTTTGGTGCATTTTTGGATATTTTATGTTCAATTTATTTTTTGGAATTTTGTGGAAAATTGAAAATGTTAATAATTCAGAAAATGGATCGTTTTTAGATCAACTTTTGATTCTTCTGTCAATTTTTTGAACATTTGTTTCCTCTCGTTTTTTTCATGAATTTACTTCTCAAAAGGATATTCAATATATTGTCATGTTTGCAACTCCATTTGCAATGATATTCATGTTTACATCAAAACTCGATTATTTTTATGAAAATACAAGTTTGCTTCTCGAGAAAAGGAAATAAAATGAAATTGTTTAAAAAGTTTCATCAGTTGTTTATTTAATGGAATAGTGTTTAAACATGAAAAACAAGTTAAATAAACACTGAACTGAGTAAACAGATCAACTATGATTCATTGAGTGATTTCAATTGGAAAATGCATGCCAAGTTAACGTGAGTTGAACGACACCTGTTCACCTTGCTTGACTTTAAAAGGTTAAAAAATTGTTTGCAAAAATGTTTGTCGAAAAAAATGATAAATTTGAGACATTTGTGGCCATCAAATGCAATTTCAATTCGGAATGTTCAAATGTTCTGCTTAGACCACTTAACAAGACATAAGTTGGGTATTCAAACATGACTGCATTTCACCAGAGAATCAGAGATTCTTAGTTAAATGATTTGTTCGACGATTCTCGCGTTGTTGGGAAATTATTTGTATTGAATATTAAACAGTGGAACTAGCATTTCCTTGGTCGAGTTTACACATCTTTTCAATAATAGAAGCTATCGACTTACATGTTAGTTGCCTTCCATGAAACGATTATTGAGTTCCATGGAATGACAAAAGACAAAATGAAAGTTCGCTTAGTTCCAGTGATTCCTTAATAAGTGATTGATTTATCAATTTTATATTGACTTGAACTGATTTCAATTTAGTCTGTCTTTGGTAATCATCAAATCCAACAAATTAGTTTCAAGTCGATAAGTCAAATGTTTTTAGAGTTAATTTTTTATTAGTTCAACAAATTTCAGTCTTTGCCAATTTGGTCTTCTGTTGATCTGGGAGTTATATTCACCAACTAAAGCAAGTTGACATCAAACTGTGATATTGAATGGTGACAATGAAAGTGAAGGTGTAGGTGAAGAAAAGGGTTGTTCATGTTTTCTTCATCAATTATTTTTACCTTATTCCAATGACAGGAAAAGGCAATCTTTTTTGTACACATTTTTAGTCTTCTTTTTGTCTAACATTTTTCTTCTTTTTCTTTTTTCTTGTTTAGAAACGGAAATGTTGCATCGTCATCGAACCAACCATGACTGTCAACCTGAAAAGGTTCATTCACAGACTCAAACATCACCAGTCATTTCGTACCAAGAGATTCCACTCGTCAATTCATACAACAGCAACCATCTGAATCAGATTAAAACAAATTCCTGACTAGGAGAGTGGCTATGATTAGCACCAGAAAATTTCTTCCACTTTTTATCGAACCTGGATGGCGTCTTATTGGTTCAGTAAAGTGTTCGGCGAATTCCAGGTTTACGAAGTCGAATGACTGGCACCAATTTTACTTCCAAACTGTATAAATGTATAATAAACTGGAACCGATTGTCAACGATTCCACTTTACATATTAGTGTACATTGAATGCCTTTCAGTTTCGAGTTGTTTCATCATTTTATATTTACTCAACTTTCACCCATCAAATGATCTGTGCAAGTCTATTGCTGAACAAAAGTGCTCTCATATCACTTGTTCATGTCCATCAATTTGAATATATTTATCGTTAGATTGTTGACAAGATTGAAGAAATTTCACAAAAAGTTGATTATTTTTGAAGCATTTGTTTCAAACGTTGAAAGTGAAGCATTTTGCAATTACCATTTCCTGATCAAAGTCAAGTCATTTCGCAAAGATTTTATTTATAAGAGAAGATTTTGAAGAAATCTCAATTCAAGGTTTCCCAATTAACCTAATTCTGTTCCCATCTCTGCTTTCACCTGAAAGATATAAAAATATAAGTCCATAATTTACCCTCTCAGGTTAATGAGCATAAATTTTTGAATTGACACAAATGAAAATGCTTCGAAGGGCGAATGTTTGTAGATATTAAATGTAATCAAAAGTCCGATTTCCAATTAATCTTTGTAAATATCGACTTATTTGTTACACTAATTATATATAAAATTGTGAACTTTCTTTTTTTGTTTATTAAAAATTTTGACTCAATACTCAAACTTATTCATTTCTTGAAATCTTAAATATAAATATTCTGAAGCGAAAGTAAACTTTCATTATTTGAAGTAACTTTTGCATATTTATCTGCTTCACTCGGTATAAAGGTTCTTATTGAACATGGAAATTCAGCCTTAAACTTCTTCATCGACAAAAAAAGTTGACATTGAGTTCAAAAATCAATTGCAAGTTTCCAGAATTGCTTTCGTCAAATGCCTATTAAAGCATTGGCCAGTTCTATCAAAGTTCAAGATATTCCAGTTGCTATGACAAGAGAAGAAATTTTGTCTCGAAATGATTCCATGGTGAAGTTGGATATTGCACAACTCAAAGGATTGGAACAAGTTGTCCTGAACTCTTCAACTTGACTCTTCAAACTCGACTATATTGTTCATTTGCTCATTATTCATTCCATCGCCCAATCATGCTGGTTTATATGACAATTTGAATCAAAGAATAAACTCAATAAAAGAGAAAGATTCCATTTCAAAATATTCCATAATCATCGTCTTTACTTAGCAATGAATGTTGCCTGAACAAGCTGACTTTTTTCAAGTTTAACCAAGTAACCATTGAAACCAAAATACTGAACGATCTTGATTTGAGAACAGTTTGATTGACAAAAGCAAATTGAAACATAATTTTTCTGTTCATTTTGTCTACAATATTTCCATTGTTTCATGGAGATTGGAAGCAAAAATATGTTCAATTAATTTTCTTGTTTATTGTTGATACATGATGATTATGGGGATCACCTTATCATATTGTTTGGAGTAGATGATAATTACTAAACAATGGACTCTTCAATTACTGATGGAAACCTTTCATATATAAATTGAGTTTCCTCTTTACATTGGAAATGCAGGTTTGAAAGACTCTTCAATTTAATGATTTTGCATTGTATTGAATAATATAATAAAATTAGCTACAAAATAATGATTTTCATTTTCTCAGGTTAATTCTCAATCAGGAATTCATCTTTACCATGATAGAAGAATATACAAACAGTAAAGAACAAAAAAGACAATAATTAAAGTGAAAACACACACAAGTACTTGTACCAATTAAATGATAATTTTGAAACAAGAACAAGCTCAATTACAATCAAGAAACACTTGAACAACATAATGTTGACATAAACTTTCATCATTCAAGCTCCAAATGCAACTTTAATTTTCATTAGCATCTAAAAGGATGAAAAGTCGCTCAAAAGCTTTTCTCGCATAAAAATCGATGAAAATCCAAAATCTAGCTTTTGGGCCAAGCAAGATTGGGCACAAACACGGAAAGTTGAAGTCTCTCATTTTTAGAAGTTGCAATTCCTCAACCAAATTTCATCACTAAATTGTCCGTCAAGCAAGATTGGCCCACCGTGTGCTTTTTCGATGTAACATTGAAATTTTCTCATAAAATCTATCTTCTTCTTCTACATTCATCAATGCAAAAGCTAAGAAATAGAACCAACTTTTCTCATTACTTTATTAATATTTAAAAATTACAAAACTGAAACTTGAGACCAATTGAAAATCGCATTAAGATTCATTGATAAAACTTTGTACTTCAAGACTTTGGTACATAAATAATCTCAACAAGTCGACAATCTTCGAAAAGAGCCGAAAATAGGAAAACGCCGAATCGTTTCAATAGTTGCAATAGTTTCTTTCAATCCTGAATGTTTCTCGCTTCTATCAAATTGCAAAATCGTTTCAAATAGAACGCAGTTTTCATCGTAATTTACCAAAGTGATTTACCAACCAATGATTTACCAAATAAGGTTTAAGAAATATTTCTACTCCATTTGAGATGTTAATTGTTTTCCTTGTACAAATGTTATGCACACTGACTAACATTAATTACTCTTCCAAGTCGCTGTATAAGTTTTTGATAGATGATTGTTAGACGTTTCATCCATTAGTTGATCACTTTGCTCAGCATTTTGCAGTTTCCAGTTTGTCTTCATCTATCCTTTTCATGCCACCTTGAGTCTTTCCTTACAGTTTCACCTTTTTTCTCGATTTACCCGTAAACTCATTTGGTTAGACTGTTAAATACAATTTATTGTCATTTTTGATCATCTTGTTACACACTTGTTCCTAAGCAATATTACATGGTTAACTTGTAAGGAATCTTGAAAGATTAATCTTGATAAAATGTGAATCAAGTGAAATACAATTGAGAAGGAAAACAATGAAAAGATTGATAAAATTAATCGCAGAATCAATTGTTTTATTGAATTAGTGAGAAAAGTAAAATAACTTGACTGTTGACTTTCAGTTTTCATCATCATTTCATAAACAAACATTTCGTCTTTACTTGCATTTCGTTTCAATACAAATTGTTGTGTTCAACTGCGATTCAAAGTGAATTGCCATTGTAAATGGATCCAAGAGACTACCTTGCTTCATCTCATCAACGAGATTATTCATCGATTTTCCTCAACATAATCAAGTACACTTTGCTGACCATTTTGCTCGTTTCATCGATTTACTTGTTGACCGTTATTTGTGTTTTCCTCTTCAATCAAGATTCATGGATAGAGTCAACCACAGCAACCATCTTGTCCTATTCACCCTCATCTCTGACACCCTCATCGTCTTTAGTTGAAGATTATTTCAATGGTCAAGGAATCAGGTTTACTTTTGGCCAGGCTGAGGGTCCAAATGCCAATTTGGTTGCCTCAACATTGAACCAGATCAACATTGAAATTGAATTGTTTCAGATTAAATCTGCTCTAATCTTGGTTTACCTTGCCATTGGATTCATCTCTTTACTTTCTGAAGATTATTACATTTCATTGTTTTTTGCATTTACTTCATTCATTGGTTTACTTTTCAGTTTGGTTAAACGTTCAACTCAACTTCAATTTGATTTAATTATTTACTCCACCATTTTGTCTTTACTTTCATTTATTTACTGTCTTCTTTTGAAGCTAAATAAACCTAAATCAACCTATTATTATGGTTATCTTCAACCATGAAAGAACAATTTAAAAGAAGAAAAAGCAGCTTCAGAATTTGACCTTTTCCAGTTTTTGTAAACACTTGAAAATAAATAGTCAACTTTAACATTTGTATTGAATCTCGTCAAGTGAAGTAATTTTTGTCTCATCGTTCCCTTGATTGTGGACAATTGGATCAATTGTTTCAATTTAAGCTCGAAATGTTGAGCCATTCAGTAATGATTCATTTTTTGAATAAATTTATCAATTAAAATTCATAAGTCTAGGTGAACGTTTCAAGCTTGATTCATCCTCTTTCAGAGTTGCTGGCTAAGTTTGGATTTTTGCGTCTTCCAAGATTGTTGATGATATTGGCATAATTTAGATGGCAAATTTCATTTTATGACCATAAAGTAGTTCAAATATTGTTGGTATTCAAGAAGCTGATCGGTTGGACCGGTTTGGAGGTAGCCTAGGCAGGAGAGCGATTATAATGCCAAGTCGAGACGAAATATGCAATAAATAGAGATCTGAAAGACATCGAGTTGCTTTTTTCAGGTTCGAGAGGCATAGCACAATAGAGATCAATTCGTTCTTGCTATAAATTTCAATTTCAAAGTTGGATCGGAAATCGAAAATAGATGAACCCAAATAATACAGTTTCACTTTGATCCATATAGCGCCTGAGGTTGGAACAATTCTTCTATAGAAATCAAGAAATAAAAAGGTTAAAATTAGTTCTCAGCTCATTTAAACTTAAGATACTTACATTAGATGAATTTTGGCACTTAGAGTCCGAAATGTTTACTTGATATTTGATTCCCTTACGCAGCTTATGGTTTATGTGCACTCTAGTCGATACTCTTAATAAACCGTTCTAGAGTTTGGAGTTTGGAGTTTAGAGAGTTCGGCTATAAATATAGCGAGCCTTATGGCTAACTACTGAATAGTGAATGTGAATCAAATTATTAAGAATCAGCTGAGTGTATTCGCGAGAGAAACTTGCTTGATTCTTGAGCAACAAATATTTTACAATTAAAAGCCAATCTATAATTGGATGAAAGCTATCAAATTTCCTAATCGATAAATAACCTATTGAAGTAACCATTGATCTTGAATTGGCATTATCGACCAATACGCTTAAATAACAAGTGATTCAAAATGCAAATGAATTCATTTCATTTTATTCTTGATCTTCTTCAGTTTTAGTGTTAGATTTGAGTCATGTTATCGTTGAAACTTGAATGGCCAAAAGTTGATCAACAGATGACTATAAAAGAAAAGAAATTTAAATTAGTAAACAGTTTTACAAGATTGGGAGGAAAATCATTATAACCAAGAAAACCAGAAATAAGAACAAACGAGTTAGTTGAGAACAAGATTTATTGTTCAGCTTTTTAACGCAAATGTATTAAGAATTAAACATTTTAAATACATTAAAGACATTTCATTAAACAAAGTATACAATGAAGTTAATTTATCTCATACAATTAAACTTGTCCACCTGCCATCTACTGGATTCATTGAAACTATTGGATTGAATCGTTGGTTAAGCAGCAATGAGAATGAAGTTGATGCGAATTGAGATTGCCAAAATTATATGAATCAATTTAAGTGTAATACTTAATTACACAACAAAAGCGAATTTAAATTAAAGAGAGAAAATCTTGTTTGCAATTGACAAGTTTAGTACTAGAAATGATTGTGAAGTTGATGTCTTTATTGCCATGGACATTAGTTGTGTTTATTTTCATTTCTTCTCATGAAAGTAAGGACAGTAAGTTTGGTGAATGTCACATCGAACCACCCATCGTTTTCAGTAGGGCCATCGTAATTTAGTCAATATACGAATGTGAGTTGTGAACCCAAATTGGCTCTCATAGCGAAATAGGTTGACTCGAGTTTTCGGTGAAAATTGATAGCCATCGAAAGTTGCAAGTTGAACGGACTAAGTGAGGTCGAGTGGCTGCCTGTTGAGCGTAAAGTTAAGTTGATATTCAAGTTGAAATTGGATTCGACTCCACTAGAGGCAGTTAGTTGCAGACAAGTTTATATGAGACAAATGAAGATGAAATTTATATAAAAATATGTGAACAAATATCTGAAATATGGCAACAAGGGAAAGATTTTTCTGGATCAAATTGGACAGTCAATTAGTTAATGAATATGGCTAAAGGTTTAATCCAATCAGTTTCATCTTTCTTTAAGCTCTGAATTTAGTGCCAAACAGCAACAAGTGTGTTTAATTATTAATTTATTTATTGCATCAGCATCCATTAAGGTGACAATATAAAGCCATAAACCTGGAAATCAAAAGAAAAGAACAAAAATATTAATAATTTGCATTTAATTTTGGGAGAAAAAAGAAGATGAGAATAAAGGATTGATGAAGTTAATTGACAATTGAGGTCAAAATCGTGCAGTAAACTTACCTTGTTGGATCTTTTGAAGAATCAATCGTACTATTAACATTTACAACATTCATTTCAGTTCCAGAACGAGAATAGCTGAAGGTAATCTGAAACCAAAGAAGAAAGCAAGAAAAACATTAATTTCAATTTGATTTGGCAATTAATGGGAAAATAATTAAACATCATGCTTTAACTTGATTCGGTGAGTGTGTACAGTTGATAATTAATGGAAAGGGCAATAGAAATGGTAATAAAAAAAATTGTTGCCCTTATAAGTAAACACGAGTTAACATTAAAAAAGGAAAAGAAATTCAGGAATTATGTTGATGAAGAAGATGAACAAGTAATAGGAGTAAACATTCAACAGGAATTATAATGAAGATAATTGATTGCTTGATTGATGTTTCAATGGATCTGTTCAATTGTGTAAACTCTTTCAATGTAATTTAACCAGTGACTGGAAAATGCAATTTAATATTATTTACTTTTTATTGAGTTCAATCAAAGAGCATCTTTAAGATGAAAACAGTGATTCCTTTGAATGTGCAGAGTTGATCATGATTATAGCAATCATTGAAAGGTAATATTCAAGTTGACAATTGACGAAATTGTTAACGAATAAAAAAGCAACTTTGGGTTAACCAGAAAAGGTTAATCTCGAGATTACGAGATTAGTCCAAGTGGTAAGGTTGGTAAAGGTTGGCGTCAAAATAACAGCTTATTTCAAGTAATCATTTTGATTGTGGAAGGCAAAAAATTCCCAGAGAAAATTGAATAACATTGTAAACTTTGATTGCATACAATTTAAGGAATCTTTTCATTTCTCTTTTTCATTTCATGCATTGAAAAATGAATCAATTTTACCATTTATGAAAAGGTAAAAATGAAGATAGTAGGAAGCAATAAACGTATTGAGTAAACGTTGCATTATCATACAAATGAGTAAATACTTTTGTGATCAAATGTAAATGGGAAAATACTGTCAACTTGTTTGTCCAATGGATTTGTGAATATCAATGATGGGCAACATGGACAAGGAAGAGAGGGAGTTCAGTGGACAATGAATAAGGTAAATAGAGTCACAGAAAAGGGCTACAAATGTAATGGGAAAAATGGTTATAAAATGTGAAACTAAATACATGTAAATACAAGAGCAGTTTAACAATTGAATCACTTTTCTTCAGGTAATATTTATAACTATTATCGTTATTGCGAGTCGTATTGTGTTATTAGATTATCTTTTGGGTCAAATCTTTACCAATAAACCATAAAGGTTCAAGACGTTGTACCATAAAAATAGACATGAACGGACAACAAAAGGATAGTTTTTGCCCTTGTACATTGTACCAAGTTTGGACGAAAAGTTGACAAGGGAAAAGAGAGAGTTTTTAAGGGGAAAAGAGTAACAAAAAAAGGAATCATTAAGTTGTGTACTTTTTTTGTGTGTTTTGTTGTGCTTACAGTTTTTCTGGATAACAAAGATTTATAAAAGTGGTTTCTTTCAAACTTGTCTCGCTCTGTCTGGATGACCTGACCTCGAACCTGTAGTCTTTACAAGGCAAAGAAGAAGATAAAGAAGTGACCTTACAAAGGGAAGAAAAACGTAGAAGAGAGAAAAAGTTGGTGACTGAAAAAAAGTCTATTGATGGGTCAAGAGGAATAATAACGTTGGAAGGAAAAAAAGGATCACACAGAGTGAAGGGTAAGAAAGGTTAGAGGGTAAAATTGAAAGGGAAAAATGATGAAAATGGTGATGAAGATGACGGTAAAGATGATGGGCTGTAAAGATTGAAAATGGAGGAAAAGTTGCGTTTTAAGAAGAAGGAAGAAAATAAGTTTAACGATCAACCAGGCGTTTTATAAACAAGACGAAGACCAGAGCAATTGGAGAAGGATGATAATGATGAAGGAAGATGGCCAAGAGATGGTTTTAAAGATAAATGTGGGCCAATAAATGATAGGCATTTGAAGCTCTTTTTTTTACTTCTTGGCATTTGCATAAAAGGAATGTAAAGCTTTATGAAAAGCTACTTTGGACAGTAAACAACAGTAAAAAGTCATTTGTTCAAGTGGGTTGAATGATAAATCATCAAAGCTCATTTGCAATGGAAGAAAGAAGATAAAGAAAGATGACAAGTTGACCATGACCAGCCATTATTGTAATCAATGGACAAGTTTTAGCGCGAAAAAAAAGTGATGACAAAGATGCGAAATTGACTAAATCTTTTTCTTCCCTTTTTCATGGGAAGATTACTGACTTCACCTGGCTGTAAATATGATGACAAACTTTGCGGTTAATGAAAAGGTAATTTGGTTGTAGTTGGTTAAGCTTTCTCCATTAACTTGAGTTAATGAATTTAATCAAACGAGAAAAGGAAATTTGACTGAAAATGAATTGTTTATGAGAAAGATTGAGTTTTTCGTGAAATATTCTGAGTGCGCTTTTGAACATTGAATAAAATGTTTCAAGAAGCTTGAGACTAAAAAATAGATGAATTGGTGAGAACATGATCTAAATCGTGATTAACATTGTATGATTAAGGGATGGAAACAGACAAAAGGTAAGTTATCATGAAAGGATGGTCAAAGGTAAAGATACATTTGAATCACGTTTATGTTAAGGTAAACAAGATAAATTGGGAAAGACTAATGAAAAGGCAAAATGTTATTTCCAAAGAAAAGGTAAAAAATATTCATCAGCAAATTTTTGACTTCTTTTTTTTCTCTCAACCCCTGAAGGTTAAAAAATTCATGTTCATAATGGATACTTGTGTGTTAAATGGAAAACTAATCATCTTCTCATTTCCTTTTCCAAGTTATTCATTTTCTTTGCAAATGGTAATCATTTAAAGGAGCATCAAAAATAATGACCAATATTCAATTTTATCATTTACATTTTGCAACTTTTCAAATCTTTCTGGCTTCTTGTATAAGTATTGTTAAGTGTTTAAACAACTTGAAATATCTGCTCTTTATCATTGTTTTATCAGTTCGCCAAGAACATTGACTTTTCATCATTTTCATCATTTACATCATTCAAGATGAACAAGTACTTTCTTTAACCATTTATGCTCCTCTCTCTCTGCCTTTCAAATTGAAAACGGTATCAGAGAGAAACAGAGCAGTGAGAGTGATAATAACAACCAGGGTCATCATCTTCATCTTTGTTCATCTTACAGTCTCACTTAAGGCACACACATCTGCTCTTCGATAGCCAGATGCCCGAAAGCATCTTAGACTATCCCTTAAGAAACTTGTTGCTCCTCCTTGGACCTCAAAAGAGAGAGAAGAGAGAAAAATCTTCACCTCTTCTCACTTTTTCTTTGGTATTTTTGCCTCTACATTTTGGCCCGTGCTTGTTCAATAATAATTTTGGCTTTTTTTCCGCAATAAAAAAAAAGTCAAGCAAAAAGTGGGCAAACAAGCTGGCAAAGGCAGGATAAAAAAAACAGGTTCAATTGATATGAAAACAGGCATCTATGTGAGGTACACAGACTATGTCAATGGACAAAGTACATAACCGTCACTTGATAATAATGTTGATGTTGAGATGAGGATGGTGATAATGATGGGCAGGGAAGCGAGAAAAAGGTTATCGAGTAACTTGAAAAAACATTTTCTTGCAGAGAAAAGATTATGGACGATTAGTGGTCAAAAAATGCAAGGTTGGACATGGTAAGTGGCAAAGTGAAAATGAATTGCTTTTGAAAGTTAATTGAGTTTAAATTATGCAAGTGCAACAACTGCATAACTGTGATTCTGTTTTTTGCTTTTGTTAATCGTTTTGTTGTTGTTCATTTACTCGTTTGCAATCAATCAAGTTGAAATTAATTAACCAATGTTTTTGTTTCAGGTAAATTAAACGATATAATCACTTTCATACAATTGGAATGGCTGACAAAATCAATTACAAGATGAACAACAATATCAATTTAGCATCAGAATTAATTAGTTAATCAGAATCATTGTAAACACGTCCTTTTGTCTCGCTTTTTCATCAGATTAACTTGATCACAATTAACATGAAAAGGCTTCAATGATTCAGTGAGCTGATTGTGACGCTCGATTAACCAGTTACTTGGAACTGATGAAGTCGAGACATTTTCTTGGTTCAATTTTTTTCTTTTGCATTTTCAGGTCATTTGATTGAAAAAGCCAGGAAAGGGATGAAACTTGATAATCAAGATAATGAGAGACTAACATGACATTCAAATGATGAACAGTAATTGCAATCATGATAATGAATGGAAAACCTTTCAACTAGAATTTTTCTCAATTTTGAAAGATTGAAAAGATTTTCTTGGATTGACAACAAAAGCTGATAACAATTGAATTGACAAGATGATGAAAAGGTAAAGATAAAGACTGAAAATGATGAAGATGATCATGATTCTGAAGAAATGATGAATTTCATCTTTTGACGCTCTGACAATTCTTCAACAAGTTATAACAATTGAAACATTTGTAACAATCATTTTTTTACTTGGCCAAATTTCATCTTTTCATTGATTCACCATGTCAATCATCATTGTAATAACCAACGTAATCATCACCATCATCAATAGCAAATGGTTATTATCATCATTAGAAGGATGAAAAAGGTTCATCATGTTATGTTCAGTCAACATTTTCTTCTCCACTTAATCCATCCATTGATATATATTAAGAACCTCTGAGCCTGGGAATTTTGTTATTGTTCATGTTTTGTTTTTTTCAAAGTTTACTGAACAGAGAAACCGGAAACCGAAACTGATTTTCTTGTTGAACCGTTTTTATCAATAACTTATTGTTTATCGATAAATCATTAGAAGATGTTATACATTGATGGGAAAATTTGAAACATTGAAACCGGAAATTTCAATGGAAACAATAAGTCGATATTTAATTACGAGTCACTTAGTGATAGACTTGGCAATTAAGTCAAAAATTGATCGACAATCAGTTAACATTAACATCATTAGTTGAAGGAATCAGGACTTTGATTATTACAAGATTCAAGAAGCTTGGATTTACGTTCATTGTATCTTGAAAGTGAGATAAGATTCAAGTTTCATGTCAGTTTAACTTTTAAATTCAGGTAAATTAATGGATAAATCGCAATTTTAAGGTAAACCTGTCCAACTCTGAAGATTTATTTTTATCGTAAGTTCATCAGAAGTGTTCTGAAGATCTTTTTTTGCCTTACGGCACAAGTAAATAGTCTCAAATTGCAGTTTTAAACTAAAGATTGATGAAAAAGATGATAATTGATGGATCAAGCTTTTAGACTTTGGCATCGTTTAATTAAATTATCATTAAGATCTCAAGATTGAAGAGATTCTCTGTGATTTACAATTTACTTGAAATTGATTAAAGGTTGAAATCAATTGTAATTGCGATAAACAAATTCGAGGTTATTAACTATGGTTGGTTGGGCAAGGGAATCTGGTGATTATCATGAGCAAAGTTTCAACAAAACTGTCAACAATAATTGAAGCTTGTAAGGCAACAAGTTTACAATTTTTCATGAGATGATGAGAATGATTGAATAATCTGGTAAATAATTGGCAAAAATTAAATTGCTGTCAATCATCAATTGCAACAATAATGTTGATATTGTTCAACAATTGCTTGAACTAATCTGCGGAAACAAAGTTTGGCATTACACTAATTTTGGTGTTAACTTTGATACTATTTTTGGCGAGTTTGGTGGCAAGAAGTAAAGGTTAATGTTCACATGATAGGGAATTTCAAGTGGGAAAATGTTTCAAATCAATTTGACTCTAATCAATGAACCAAATTGATCAAAATGTATCAGTTTGATTTCAAGACTGGAATCATTTTTGAAACAGGTTTGTTTGGTGATCAACAGAGTGATTAGATGAAATCATCAACTTTCCTCATTTTGTTCCCATCATTTTGGAAACCAATGTTGAAGTGAAAAATAATTGAACATTTTAATCAAATGCGATGACTAGAATATTCAGTAATCTGATGAATTATGTTTCTTTCCGCCCAAGTTGAACATGAAAGTACATTGCAATCTCTAGAAACTTACTGTGAAGATTAATTTTAAACAAAATGAACAGTGATGATGATTTAAATGTAAGATGAGTGAAATGAGTAAAGACATGATAAAATCAACGGGGAGGTAAACAACAATAAGTAGCCTTTGCTGTGTTAGGTAATAACTGGTCAATGTTGTTGGGTGGAAAGAAAAATGTAAGTTAACAATGATGTTACCTATTGATTTAACCTTCGGCCTACAAGGTAACTTGGTAACTTTGCCTGTAAATATGTACAAAAGTGTATTCAAAACTATAACCATTGAACTTAACCTCTCAGTAGGTAAGTTAAGTTTTTTCATGTCTACAAGTCTCTCTAGCAACTGTGGGTAATGATGATGATGAATAGAGGATTGCATTTGCTAGAGCTAGTGAAAGGTAAGAAACCTTGGCCCGGGGCTTTGGCGTGATCCAGGGGCAAAGTTGCCTTTACACAAAGATTGAAAGATGAAATAAAGGTAAATGAGAAGCTTCAACATCAAGATGATCGAGATGATGTGATGATAAAGATGATGAAGATGATGAACCTTCATTCATTTCTTTTTTTACCTTTTACCACCAATCAATAGTGTAAAACATGTATTTATCTTGAAGGTGAGTGAAGAGAAAAGAGCAAAACTCTATTAAGATTGCAATTGAAGGGTAAAAATGAGCAAAAGAATGAGAAAGTTTAGTTATTTTTTTTCTTTTCTACTTTTTTCTTATTCTTCATGTTTTTCCAATGCATTATCATAGCTAGTTTAACTCATCATTGAACATCCTTAATGGATCAAAAATAATGTTAACTTTCATCTTTGGTAACCTCGGCTGACCTTTTGTTTTTCCCTCTCTTACTTTTTGTTGTTTTGGTCTTTGTCTGTGTCTCATCTTCCTTGTTTCATCAATTACAATTTCAATAGATTAAAAGTTGGTTTTTGTTTCTAAATCATGATAATCCAGTAATGTGAGCAAATTTTGTTCAAGAAAAATTGTTAAGCTGAAATAATAATGCAAAGAAAACTGAAAGCTTTACTAACAATGGTAAGCAATGGAAAAGGAAACACAATAAGCAATTAGTAATTGGATTTAAGATGAAATGAGATAAATGGATATTTTTATGGTTAATTTTTAGGGGTTTAGTTGATCTCAAAAAGTGAGTAATGGATGAATGTTCAATGTGTAAACTTTGATTTAACCGCCCTTTTCCGTCTTGACAATCTTCAATAATCGCGAGATGGATTAAGGCGAAAAGGCGATAAAACAAAAGACCAGAAAAGTGAACGATTATGAGTAGCTTAAAGGGGATTTAAGAGCACAAGAACAGACGATCCGCTTTTAAGATTTAATTGAATCTGTTTTTTAGTCTCTAATGGGATCAAATAAAATGTTTACTTGCAAGACTTGCCTGCTTGACTGTCACTTGCGGGCAAATATTTTTTTTTTACTTTCTGATAATTATTGGGGATATAAGGTAGGGAAAGAAAAGTTAAAGATGAGGATCATAAAGTGAGTAAACAAGATGCCAATCATTAGCAACTAATCAGAACAGGTTCGTATCAATAAATGGAATATTAAAAGAGAATGAATTAAGGTAGAAAAAAAATGCACCGAAAATCAAGTTAAAGAGTGAGGTGAAACAGAAGAGAATATTAATTAAATAGAAAAAAATGCGAAATAATTACCTGATCTTTTAAGGTTTTACTTGGAAAGAGATTCATGGGTTCCAAATGAGAATGGAATGTATCAACAACAGTTAAATTAATGGAAAGCAAGTGTTCAATAATGTAACCAATGGTAACATCATCAGGTAGTCTAATTTTTTCACCCATTTGCATAAATTTACCTTTACTGGCAAATGGAGCCATTTTATTGGCCAAGGCACGACTAATACAGAAACCTGCACCTCCAGTGGCAAACCAAAATGATATCTTGGACGATTGATCATCTGGATTGAGTATTACCAAAGGTGAAAGGGTACTTGGTTTACCTAAGTACCAAGGTTTATTTGGTGAGTAACGAGATAAATGTTTAACCAGACTAGGTACATGAACGTAATTGTCATCATCAAAATGGCAAAACCATTTTTTAGATGTTGCAAGAAAAGTATCAAATTCGGCAGACATTTTACAACACAAAGCAGTCCGATGGTGTGATGCGGAACAATTGGTTTTAATAAGGTGTCCATTGGTTAACCGGTTAAACTCATCGTCCTTTTGATCGGTGAAAAAATACGTATCCTCTGGTGCTTGTTTAAACCATGTTTTCAATATAATTGCAAGTCTTGTCCGATGGTTAGATTGGGTCGTCTTAACACTGAGGAAAATGTCTTTTAACCGTTTTTTCCCACTAACATGGTTAGATAAAAGGGTCAAAACAATGAGAAAGGTTAAACAAATTGATGTAAACTTGGATATTAACATGATGATGCATTAAAAGACGCATCGATCAAAATAAACAAAACAACAAACATTAAGGGTAACACATAGCTATTTAGTAAGCTTAATAAAATTCCCACAACAACTAAACTAAAGACGAACGAAAAAAGTGAGTTTAGTGAGAAACTTGTCAAAGTTTAAGAGAAGCGAAAAACCAAAGAAGAACTAATGCCATCTAGCAAATTGAATGCTAACCAACATCTGTCTACCGAAATTAATGGTAACCAGATTAATCATTTACATAATACTCGTCTGAAGACAATGTTTACTTTGACTGTAATTAATAACAATTTATGCATCCAATGTTCCCTGGTGATTAATGGAAATTCTTGAAGTGTTCAATAATTGATTTGATGATTAAATGTCAGTTATTTTCTTATGGTTATGATTTAGACCATTTCATCATCTAATAAAGTGCTTGATGTAAGCAGTCAAAGGGACGTAAGTAGAGTCTTTATTTTTTGTCATTCTTTCGATTTTTTTATTTCGTTTGTTTTCGTTCGATTTGATTTGACTTTTTTTTGATAATTTTCAGCAAAAGTTTACAATTAAAAGTACGATTCTATCGATATTAATATTAATCTCTTTGTTTGTTGCCGCCATCTGCTGGTTTAGATATTGATGGTAAAGCTTGAGAGCCAACTTGACAGATGCATTAAATTAATGTTACCTGGTTTGTGTTTTCTTTGTTGATGTTTTTTTAGTGTCTAAATGTAACTATTTTGTCGCAATTTAATTGGATAGAATCTCTTTGCATCAACCTGTGATTTATTCTGGATTTTTTGATATTTAATACAAGATGACAGCAGTCGTGGTAATGGGTGAAGCACCTGAATCAGAGGAAGAAGAAAATGATGAGATTGATTCTCACACCATTGAAAGCCAATTTGATGAATTTAATGGTCGACCAGAAACTCCCCCTTCACCAAGTCCTGATTATCCTCGTATTAAACCTTCAAATGGACAGTTAACTGATACTCAACCTAAAGTATTTCCCATCAAGAATGAATCCTTGCCATCTTCACCTGTTTCATCATCATATGATACACTGTTACATAGAAAATTGAGGGAAAAGAATGAAGCTCTTCGAGAAGAACTGGTAAACTTGGCCTGCCAACCTTACTTGAATGCAACCAAAGAGATAGATTCACTTTCCCAGCAGTTGATTAAATCTCAAAAGATGGTTCAACAAGTTTCCATGACTCTTTCAAAGTTGACCAAAGATTTGAAAAATGTTGAGATTACCCTTGATACGTACCGACACGATTCCCATTTAATCCCTCAATTTACAGATAATCTAGTCAAATCTCCGAGAAAGCAGAGGATAGAGAGTAAAGTTGATGTTTACCTATCTGACAAATTATCCTCCTCATCGACAACAACATGACTTAAACATGGCGGTACCCGGAAATACTGTCATGTAGATGGCCCTGCCATCTATGTTATCCTAGGTTGTTTCTTCCTTCTATCTCGATTCATCGAAACATTTTCTTGAAGCTCTCTTTGGCAAACTCTGGCAACACTGTAAAAATCCGCCATGTTTTAGTCAAGTACTTTTAGCAATCTCTTGCCTGTTTACTCTCTCTCTCTTTTACTCTGCCTCACTTACTCTCTATCCTCTCTCTCTTTCTCTCCCTCCTTCTGAATCTTCTCTCAATTCTATCGTTACTATTTCTTTCATATTATTATGTCATCGTTCAACAGTTTATTTAGTTTTACCAATCCTTCAGTGAAAAAACTTCTTGGTTGGAAACAAGGTGATGAAGATGAAAAATGGGCTAGCAAAGCAATTGACTCGTTGGTTAAAAAGTTGAAAAAGAAGAAAGGTGCCATTGAAGAACTACAGAAAGCTCTTACCTATCCAGGGGAACCGTCAAAATGTGTAACTATCCCGCGATCACTTGATGGTCGTCTGCAAGTTTCCCATCGTAAAGGGTTACCTCATGTAATTTATTGTCGTGTCTGGAGATGGCCTGATTTACAGTCTCACCATGAACTTAAACCTTTGGAAATTTGTGAATTTCCTTTCTCTGCCAAACAACCCCATGTCTGTGTTAACCCGTACCATTACAAAAGAGTGGAGACACCAATTTTACCTCCTGTCTTGGTTCCTAGGTTTAGTGATTACCCGCCTGGTCATTTACAATCATCCACTTCATTGAATAATAGTAACATCCTTAATGATAATAATATCAATGCTATCAATAATATCAATAATAATAATAATAATAACCTTAATGATAATAACTCTGTTTTCAATGATACAAGTAACCATTTAAGTAGTGCAAATAATGGTAATATTGATGCAAGTTTACTTGGAAATCCACTCGGTTCACCAATAAGCCCTTCATCTAATTCATCGATTTTTCCTGGTGCACCTCACCTTTCACAGCATAGCATCCATCAAGCTCCACAATACCATCAAACTCAACAATATCATCAAGCTCCACAATATCATCAGCAACAACAATTTGATTTATCTTCGGTTAGACAAGGCCCACCATCAGGACGATTATTAAATAATCATGCTATCACCAATAACAATACTGATAACTCATTCGTTTTCAATGACGTTTCAAATGAAATTTTGAATCTTCAGCATACCTTTAGCCCGTCCTCCCTCGCATCCAATATGTCAAGCCCTTATGGACCCAGCTCTCCACATCTTCCAATGGCAGAGACACCACCTCCAGGTTACAGTCCACAGGACGAGAATCGCAATCAAAACGATGCCAATCAGATGGACACCTCGGATGCTCCATTCAACGCATCGCTAGTTCAGCACTCAGAACCAGATTCTTGGTGCAAAATTTGTTATTATGAATTAAACACTAGAGTCGGTGAAGTTTTTCTGGCAACTGATAGTTATGTTACAATCGATGGTTTCACCAACCCTTCCTCGCCCAATCGTTTCTGTCTAGGATCTTTGTCAAATGTTAACCGTAACTCGACAATTGAACAAACTAGAAAGCACATAGGAAAAGGTGTTAAACTTGTGTACGAACAGGGAAAAGTTTTCGCCATTTGTCAGAGTGATGCACCCATCTTCATCCAAAGCCGTAACTGTAATTTTGCAAACGGTTTCCTTCCTACGACTGTCATAAAAATCCCTCCATCATGTTCCTTAAAGATCTTCGACAACTCTGTATTTGCACATTTATTGAATAGAGATGTTCAGTACGGATATGAGAAGGTTTACGAATTGACTAAGATGTGTACAATCAGAATGAGTTTCGTTAAAGGATGGGGAGCTGAATATCATCGAACTGATGTTACATCAACTCCTTCCTGGATTGAAATTCATCTTCACGGACCACTCCAATGGCTTGACCAAGTACTAACGCAACTTAAACCACCACTGGGCCAAATTTCCTCAGTTTCCTAAATTAAACGAGCCAAATTTTAAAATGAATGCATATAAATCACTTGTTGCTTTGACAATTGGCTAAACTAATATCAGTGCCACCTAGAGGTTTAGGATAATGAATGCCTTTGTTCACAAAACCTTTGTTTTTTTGTTTACCAATTGTTTGCTCAATTATTGATTGATTTTTCATCTAATTATCTTTGTTTAGATCGTACAATTGTATCAGTTTCAATTTTTTCTTAATAAACTTGGCTAAACCATTAAATTGCTTTGAAGAAGGTGATAGTATTTGTCAATGTGATTTCAGTTTCTCTGTTGCCATTTCGAGTTTGTGAATGAAATTCAAAATTGGCTTCTCTTACTGACATTTTGTAAGTTGCTTTTTCAAGGTGAAAATGGTGATTTTATTAGATCACAATGTGACTCAAACCGTTTCTTAATTACATTCAATGAGAAAAAATGTAAACTAAATTAACCAATAAAACATCAATATTTTTGTTGCATTTCAATATTAAGATGATTTTTTAACTTTGCTCATTGCTGTATCTAGTTAAATAATCACATCTCTAGATTTAGCTAACAGTTAAGCATTCGCCATAGATCAAACAAGCAACATAATCCATTGATGTATCAACAATTATGATTGGAAACGTTAGAGTTACGCTTTCTAAATACTTTTGATTTACCAGACTGACAAACTAGTGAGTTTGAAGTTCAATTACTGTTTAAATAGATTAACGGATTGTTTGTTCCTCTAAATCATAAAGATGATAAATTGTAAGTCGGATTGCTCAACTAATTGCTATTGAAAGCTCAAGACAACAGAAACACAGTTGCAAAAAAACAACGCAATAATGTATCAAATTTGCATCATTCCACTCAATAATTGTTCAAAGGTAATTGTAATAAATTTAGATGGCATTACTATACAGGTGTAAAGAAACTTTTGGAAAGTAAGTTCAGCCCATTTCATTGCGCAGAGATCCTTTTAGCTTTGTTAATGTGTATCAGACGATGATTTTAAAACAACCGCTCTTTCATACGCACCTATGAGTCCCGCCTTCGCCAAAACTTTCTTTACAATCTGTATTTTCCTGTTATTAAAAGTCCGTCATTTAAACATTTTTTAAACCCATTAATTTAATTTTTACTAACAGTAGTTAGCCCAGAGTCACGTCGTCACTAAAAAATTAAGTTAGCAGATTCGGGTTCACTTTAGTTGACTAAAGCGAGTGAGTGAATAGTCTTTAGTGAATAAAATGCAAGAAATGGTCAAGCTTGATCAATTTACGAGCAAAATTAATTTATTTTGATACTTTTTCTGTTTTTTCTCGTTTTTTCAATTTCTTATTGATTTTTATTTTACCTTTTTTAGAGGCCCTTTAGTTGATTAGATAGAGATTAGTCGCTAGCTCACTGCGCTGTTTACTCAATGGCTGGACTCACTAATATGTGGCTCGCTAGTCAGCTAACGTTCACTAGCTACGGTTTTTAATTTTGTTAGCTTTATTGTCTTTTGGCTAATTAGCAATTCACCGTTTATGTTATTGCTTTAATTTCTTTACCCATTGACTACTAATTGATACCTAATATGTGTTGTCACCTACATTGGATTTATTTTGCTCTATTTATGTACCAGTGAACCTCTTATGTAGCAATAGCTCATCGTTTGGATCTCGGTAATGAAAAGTCCTGTTTTGATTTCAATGAATTTTTATACAATTTGAAGCTAATGGTACCTTTTGCTGTCCATCTTTCTGGTTATTTAATAGACTGTCGTTTTAAATATTGATGGAATCGAATTGAATAGCGTCGCTGTGCTTTCAACTGTAGTAACATTTGATGAGACTTGACTGTTAGCTACTAAAATTGTCTCAACATTTGACACATTTCAATTGAAGCTACTCAATAATCTGTGATCAAAGAAAGAGCAAGATTGTGGAAGACATTCAACATTATTTAGAGCTTACCTTTCATCATGAACAACCAGTCAACAATTCTAAATTTTAATCTCATTTGTGAATTGAATAATTGGAATGGTGGTTATTGAAGCAGCAAGTTTAATAAATGGGCCTTAAAGATGTTGACCACGATGTAATCATTTTTCAGTTGACAAACTGAAATTCAACTGATTAGCGATGAAATAAGGAGACCTACAAGACAAGAATCAACAAAAGTTGATGACTTTGCAATGACCCATGATTACTTTGATTCACATAAAAGGGCAAACCATTTGATTTCGCAATCTTTGAGGTAAGCCTGATTACGTGATGAGCGACACGGTTTCAATACTTGTTTTAGCCCATGGCACATTTGCTTTATTATGATCATCATCATGTTCATCAGCCCTGTCCTCCATCATCATTCCTCTTCTAATAACCATTTTTCTCGTTCTTCTTTTTTCTTCCTTCAGCATTTCTCTAGTTGATAATCACAGACCTGCAATCATTGGACTTATAAAATTCACGAGATGGCAAAAATCATGATGATCCATTTCACTACTAGATCGATGGAGATAATAATGAGGATGGCAAAGAGATAAAAAGTTATCTGTTATTACAATTGAAATAAGAGTAAATGATTTATGTTTCTATTAACCCTAAAGGTTTTTGGGATTATGGCGTAATGAACAATCATCATAAAAATATCCAAGAAAAACAAGTTAACATGAATCTTGATGATATGTTGATGGATTTCATTGAGCCCATCCTAATATTATTTTTTCATCAACATTATCATTTATTTGGCTTAAAAACATATTGATTGTTCATCATTATCATTATCGTTGCAATTTGCAACACACATTTTTCGGTGGAATAATAATTACTCAGCTTGAAAGATTGCCAATAACGGCTACTTTAGTGTTTATTTTATTACTACTGGAGTTTACCTAATTGTATTAATGGTGTTTTCATCTTGTTTACAGATCTTGATTAACTTGAAATGGTTTAAAGCAAGCAAGGAAACAACAACAGTTCAGGATTAAACCGTTCTTTCATTGTCAAAGCAATTCAATCAGATGATATTACAATTCAAGTTGGCCTCTAATGATAAATGTTCTAGATCATGACAACGCAGCAGTAAAAAGTCACCAAAGTCACTAAGGATGGGTAAATGGGCTTGGAAGCGATCAAGATTAGCAATTGTCCCATTTAAAGATTCAATATCCAAAATCAAAAGCTTAATGGACTAAAGCAAAGCACTGGTCAATCACCATTCCAATATCTTGTGATTATTCAAGCCAGTTGATGACATTTCCATTTCGATTGGTATTTCCAGCTTAGCTACAGCAAGTTTACATTTTTCGACATTTCTGGAGTTACTTCACCTCTTGGAATAATTTATACTTTTTTCTTGTTCTTTTCTTTCTTTTCATTTGAATATTTTCCATGAGAGAAGCGTTCAAAACGAAGAGAAAGAGAAAAATTGAAATAAGAGAAAAGGTTATTAATTATTCCAAGAGATAGAGTATTTCCGAAAGCGTCGAAAAGTGTAAACCTGTTGTTATTGCCAAAAGTGTCACATCAACCTCAAGATAATTGAAAGTTAATGCTGTTTGGTGTTTGAAAAACTGGATAATAATTTGGAAAATTATCTAACCATATCGATTAAAGAATTATTTCTGAAAAATGAAGAAAAAGAAGAAGAAAAAGGATTGCCCAATGAAAGAATAAATTCACATTAGATGATGATTATCATCATTATGATGAAGACTCGCCAGCATCATCATCAATAGTTCAGGTCAATGTATCGGCAAGAGTTGATTTTAATGGCCCCAGGTAAACTAATTAGGCTACTACTCAACGTTAACCTTATCTAGAACAAGACTCGGAACTTTTTTTCCTCTTCTCTTCTTATGTGTATTTGATTTCATCATTTTTCCTTCAAACCAAACCTTTTTCAACTTGTCCGTTAAGTTTATCATCATCATCCTCATCTTGAGAAGTATCATGGTGATGAGGATCAACAAGACATTTACAAAGAAGAAGAAGAATGAAAAAAGGCTTTTCTCAGTGTGTTTTTTTTCCTTCTATTGTAATCAAGCTGAGGGTGAAAAGTGTTGATAGGGAATGTATTCATTCATCTATTGAAATTGAATTGATGAAGAAGGAAAAAAAATTGAGACTGAACAAAGAAACAAACACTATTGAATTTTAAAATAAGTCACGTCCACAGTTACTCTCTTTACCTCCCAGTCATCTCTCACTTACCTGTTTGCTCACTCATTGACTCTTGCCATTTACTTTGATTCAGAAAGTGTTTCGTCTTTCAGGTAGCTTAAATTGGTAACATGAGCTTATTAATGGCAATAATAATGAAAAACTGTTTACATTAGTTTCCTATAACATCAACACAAACATCAACCAATTCATCCTTTTTTTGTTATATCTCTAGTCTTTTGATTGAATTAACTTCTAATCTTTCTTTTTTTTCTTCATTTCTATTGATTCCAGTGTATAATGTGCTACTTCACCTGTTAAAAGTGCTTTCAAAAGGTTGATTGATCGGTCAGTTAATCCAGGAGCCAAACAACAAACCAATTTGTCCATACAACAAAACCCCATAAAACACACAGCAACAAAGCCAAAGAAAAACGATGGCTTTGGCTTTAATCTTGAAACTTGCTCAGCTATCGAAACACTACATTACAGAATCTAAACATTGTTTCTTCTCATGATTAGTTACCAGTTGTGAACAATTGTGAATCGTGTCCAAAATAGGAATATTGAAATTTATAGTTAAACCAACCATTAGCTTTATTTTGTCGTTAACCATCTTCTATGTGCGTCCAGTGTTTTTAACCTCATTTATCATGTTCCATGTGATGTTTCGTGTCCATTGATTGAAACTCTATTTTTTTACACTTCTAAACTTATCACTTTTATTGAATTAACCAATCAAGACAATCATGTCTCGTTCAATGAGATCAAATTCATCGCCTCCATCAATTCATCACAATGCAATGGATGTTAACCATAAAAGCTTCTGTTACATTTTACTTAAAAATTTATACCTCAGCGCTTATTATCCAGAAGTAAGTAACCAACAAGATTGAGTAAACTTGAAATGGGCAGCAAAATAATCTCATCCAAACACCCAGTTAATTATTGGCTAATTGAAGTTTCATCATGATTGATTAACAAGAGACGTGTGTTTACTTGTATACAACATCAACAATCATGTTACAGGCAACAATAGGGTTGTTTAAACAAAATGTGTTCAACAGTCTGTTTAAAGTGTAAAATGAGACAATCAGTTGTTCGTGACTCTTTAGGGCGATGATTAGTTAATAATAGTTATGTATTATTCATTAATTAACCTTTAGCCAGCTCAATTGTTTTCATTTTTCACTGTTAATTTGAGATTGCTGCGCTTTCATTTGGGTTCCTCAACTGTTGCTAACACTGTTCAATATCAACTAATTTCTCATTTTCTCATTTCTCTTTTCAGGGATTATCATTTTTAGCACTCATCCTGTTAACTGCCAAATTATACGATGTTAATAAGGAAGTTACCTTTCTATCTTATATGTCAACCGTTTGGCTACCAAATAAAATTGAAGAACCGACAACCTTGCAGGATAAAAGTCGATCATTTCACATTGAAAATTTACGCTCCGATTTTGACATTCTCATTGGTAAATGAACATTTTCTCAGCCTTTCACGATCTTTGCCATTCTCATATTCACCGGATTTTCCATTTTCTTTTCTCTTTTACCAGTCGAATTGTGGTCTTCCCGAACAACCCTCATTCTGAGTGTTATTTTTGTCTTGATTTACATTTTCAGTTGGGCTTGGATGGCTTATGCTGTTCGAGAGACTCGCAATGTGGTAAGATTTACTTCTGTTTTTACGTCCAAATGAACAGTTAGAAGTCGCAGTTGCTGAAATTTCCAAGTCAGGAGATTTGACCTCAGCAATCAAAACCTTTCCAATAAGCACAGTCTTTTGGTCTTGATTTTGGATGTTAATTGACGTCTTGTTGCTCTCTTTAGTTTGAAATAGACTCTAATTGTCAATAATTTGCAGAGTAAACTCTTCCAGAATCTTGATTGCCTGTTTTAAACTTGAAATTTGGATTTAATTTTCAATCAAATATTGAATTGAATTTTTATTCTGCCATTTATAATGCATTTAATGATATCAACACTTAAATATAAATATAATACTTATCCATTTAATGTATTACAAATTACAACATAATGATTATATTTCCTTATAATGATTATAATCATCGCCATCATCAATTGGAGATCAAATTTTCTTCTTCATTTTTAAGGATAATTTCACCCTTTTCTGGTTAACTTAGTCAATGGATAAACTTTCATCATTATTTCAAGTTTATCAGAAATAAAAAACTAATCAAATGTCTATTTTGATAGAAAGCAAATCAATCAAAAATATTGATCACGCAATTAGACTTGAATAAAACCTAAAATAGTGCAAAAAGATGTCCAATAAAACCTTTCAAAACCCAATTTTTGTCTAGACTTAACATGCCATTGAAACCATTTCAATATCATGATTATGGGACAAAATGAAGTCAACAATTAGAAATTAAAAGTCAAACTTAATGACGATTATCAATCAAATCAGGTTTAACATTAAAAGGTAATTGTTTAAATCAATTTGGGCTAAGCTTGCTACTTGACAGAAAAAAGAGCAACAAGACCCAAAGTTGATAGGTTTAACCAGTTATTGGACACAATTGAGTAAATTATTTCCTTGATTGTTTTAACCATTTTTCCAACAATTATCTTTAACCAATGAATCTACAATTAACAGTTAACTTAGTGTTACGATTAACTGTTAAACCAAAGGGCAACTTGTAATCAATAATGTTATTGGCCAAGAAAAACTTGAAAATGTTATTTCAGTTTCTCAAATGGCTTGAAGCATAAATCGAAACATTTACCTTCCTTAAAGTATTGGCTAAGATTTCAAAGATAAGTCGTATAATGATGATGATGATGATGATGATGATAATGAGATGGTGTTTCTCCTTGTTCATCAAATAAGTCCTGCTGATTGCTCAATGAATATCTCTTTTTGTGTCATCTTCATCATCAAGAATTAACCTTTTCATTTCTCGTTGGTTAATAAAACAGGAATCTGCTTCAGGCTTGTATTGACCCGATAATCCGGTTTATCACAGATTTGCCTTTTCTGTATCATCTTTAAACACGATTGTTTTTAATGTATTTACATAAGAAACTTGAACTTGATCACCATAACCACTGATTTTGTATTACTTTAAAATCTAATAGTAACCATAGTCTAGTCTTTCAGCTGATGAAAGGTTTTAGCTTTCAGTTTGTGGGATTGTTTTAAGACGGAATTTGCTAAACCATTAAATTTTGAATCCATCATGAGAAAATCTTGAAACCTTTTTTCATGTTAAACTGTGAATTTTTACAAAAAAGAACCAGATTTTGAGCTGAAAGTCGATAAACTCTGTCTCTAAAGGTTAAACTGGAAAATGTATCTTTTTAAGTGATTTTATGTTTCTTTTAATCTTCCAATCTTGAATCAATTGATGCTGAATCTGGTGACTTATATTAACGAGATTGAACAATTTTCCTTTCTCATTCAAATATTGGTCAAACTGAAATGGAATCGCCATGATAATGAATATCTTCCTATAAAACGAAGTCCTTTTTTCACCATACTTTTAGGTCCCTTAGGCTGGAAATATTTGAAAGGTAACTTTAAGGCAACTGAAAGGAGAGAGAGAGAAAGGTTGGTTATAATGATGATGATTAAGTTGATGTTGAAATTATAAATGTTGATCTGATTTGTTTGCATGGCTCTTGCCTAGTTCCTGATTCCTGAAGTATAAAAAAACTCATCTTGAGACAATTTCATTGCAACCTTTTACCTTCAACTGTTTTGTTAATTTTCAATCTTCTTTTGGTACAACAATATTACAATAATTAATTAGTTGGGATGAAATTGAAAAAAAAAGACTCTTGACCCTAACAGGGTTAACAAAGATGAAAAATTGAAGAGTTTAAATGTAATTGAAATTAAATGTGACCAAAAGATGAGAGCAAATTAGCATTCAATAAATCAGGTGGAATTGGAAATTGGATTTTTTTGAAACTTTCAACTCTTAACAATTTAACAGATAACATCTTCTAACTGTTCATTTGAGATTCTTGGCAAACAAAATTGATAATTACTTTTGATTCAATTTCGATTAATCTAATTGTCTTTTTACAGAAAGATGTTTCCTTAACAACAGTCTTGTTATTGGCAGTTTTTGCTGCAGTTGATATTGCTGCCAGTTCTGGTTTTGTTATGGTTCGGATGATAATGGTACGTATGGTTATGGTTTGGCCTGTGCTTCAAATAGAACCAGTTAATTGCAGTTAGACGGTTGAATTTGTTTAATTAATAATTGACTGTGGAAATGAAACTATTAGATAGTTGTTAATGGTTGGCTTGTGTGCGTGTTGCGCTGTTTGCCGGTTACTGGTTGTTGGTAATATTGCCAATAATGAAATGAGATATAAATTATGGGCTATTAAATATCCAATTTACAATCAATTGATGATATTGATTTTGTTTTCCCTTCTTTGATAGCTTTTCATTCGAGATCATCATTTTCCGAAAGACATGAGAATACCTGGTTTGACTGAGCACGATCAACTAACGGCTTATGCTGCACTTAGGATTGCCGTACTTCAAGTAAGTAAAACCATTTTGATTGCAGTTTGATAACTTCATTGTTTTAACAGCTTGATTCTTTTTCTTCTCGGACCAATTTCAAATTAAGGCTTCATGTGCTTCAATCATTCAACAGCGTTGAAATTGAATTAACTGCAACAGATAATGAGTAAACTAGCAGGGAAAAATGACTCTTTATCACTGTAAATAGTAAAATTACGTCAGGTACATTAATTTTGATGGGCTCCATCCAGTTTGAGGGCAAGAAAGTGATTTGATTTTAAAATAAACAAATTACATTTTCAAGACAATGATTGAGCTTGTCCTCATCTGTGTTAATAAGAATTGAATCTCATCAAAATGTAATCAAATGTTGCCAGAATAATGAAGACGTGACGAGAATGGAAGAATATGTAAAAGAGTCTTCTTTTTTGCACTTGATTAACATACGATTTTGTTTATCATTTTCCATTTTTTTATCCATAATTATGATTATATCATCAATACCATCACCGTAACCATTTTGATCATCGTTGAATCGGTGGAATATTGGCCTTTTGTAAACACACAAACAAACAACCATAAATTAAAGTCTAGTCCAGGTAATACTGATATATTTGTTTCCGTGATAATCGGCTTTCTAACTGGATTAAGAGTTTACAGTGTGGTCTGTGCTGTATCATTTTATAATAAAGTACGAAAAGGTGATTTCAAATCCAATCATCTGGTAGCAACCAAGGAACGAAGTGAGTATAAATTTGAAACAAAGGGTCATAACATTTACAGCTATTCAAATGTAATAATGTAAACGCTTATAGCTTTATAATGGGTTGATTTCATTTTTAATGGAGGTTTATAATATTATCACTGGTTAAACAAAAGTTAATCAACATCAAAAACTAGTCAAAATTCACAAAATCAAAGGTAAATCAAACTTAAAACTCAGGTGTCAAAATAAAAAAATATAATGAGATTGAAAAATTCAACACTAGATAGAGCTCTTTTTGCCCGCTTTTTGCATAACAGTCATAAGGTAACTTTAGATCGCTTAATCCACTAAATCAAGTTATTCATTAATATTTATCAATTTTAGCTTAATTTCAGTGATGTGAACCAATTTTGAAAGTAATCGACTTTTCGTTAATAAGTGCAACTATTGTCTTGTCTTTAATAAGAGTGCCTATTGTAATAATCTGTGAATTTTCTATCAATTTTTCCGCATTTTCATCGTACATGTAAATGATTGACATTGTCATTAAGCTTCCAATCTAAGGAAAACAATATGTAATCAATTTTTCTTCTCAAACAAGTCATGATCGACCTCAGGAAAATCAACAATTAACTTGAAATCAGTTTGAAACGATTAAGAAACTAATGATGTCAGAAATCAAACTCAGTGACCCTTTTGTTTTGATCAGTGATGCTAAGAAAATAATTGCCATTGGTTATTGTGCGAGTTCAATAACTGAAATAATGAAGTGTATTAATTTATTGTGAAAATTTGATTTTCATCCTCTCATTGTGAGATTTTGTTAATTGGGGATGAACATTGTGTTGTATTCAAGCTCATCACACCTTTATGCAATGTGTAACTGGATGTAAAAAGATAAATTATACATTTTCTTTAGAAAGTTACAGTTAAAATTCACTGATTTTAAATTTCTTATCTTTTTCTTTATTCCGTTTTGTTTCACGTTAGATTTTCACACAAAAATATAGTAACTTTTGAACATGAGAAAATACTGATTGTGATCTTTTATCTAATTTTTACGAACGAAATTTAAAATCACTTACATGTTAATAATTAGATGCTATCAGTTAATTTAAATTTCAAGCGCTTCTCCATTCCGTTGAACAAATTATCTCCATTATGCAGCTTGTTAATCAATGCATTACAATTTGTTCCTGTTTAATGAAGTATAACGAGTTTCTTGTTCATCCTTTCAACTCATTGGTTTAGTACTTAATAAACTTAACTAATTGTATAGATAAGTTAACTTGATTGTTTTCTTGCTCCAGTAAATGTTTCAATATCATGTTAACCTTTTATCTGGTTAATCTTTGAATTATATCGGAACAGTTTTAGATGCAATTTTAAGGTTTACAAAAATTGAATATTCAAATCATGAAAAGGTAATAAATTAACAATTCATTTTTTTCTGCTACCATTCCAGGTGTAGTTTATTGCACAGACAATGCGAGTGATAGATATTCAAGCCATTTAGATGAATTTTTTAAAAAATCAGCTCCTTACATGTAAGTATTATTCATATTTATTCATTTTTGTATTTCAATTGTTTATCATTCCATTTGTTTCGCATTTCAGGCCCTCTGAAGATGGACGACGTAAAGATAGGCATAAAGAAAGGTCCAAAGATAGAGGAGATCGACATCACTATTCAACGACAAATTCAACTGCAGTGACTGATGTTGAAGTTATTGAAAAGGAAATGAAAATTCAGGCGGCTGATATGCCTATGCACATGCAACGGAAAGCTCTTCAAATAGCATCTCAAGCAGTTGCCATTTATGCTACAGAAAAGTTAATTGCTGAAAGTATTAAACAAGATTTTGATGCAGCTTTTGAACCAACTTGGCACTGTATTGTTGGTCGTAATTGGGGAAGCTGTGTAACCCATTCCAAACAATGTTACATTCGTTTATTGTATAAAGATCTCACCATTTTATTGTACAAGTCAACTTAATAGTGATTAAATCAAAATAGACATTATTTAAAAATACATTTCAATTGATATTGTTTTTCATTCCTTTTCACTGTTTTCGGTTCATCAAGAAACATTGGACTTGTTTGCTGTTTCTACTAAATTTGCAGTGGAAATAGACAGCATATTTCAAACAAATTATTTACACTTCTAGGCTTATCTATATTAATTTGAATTTAAAGCTTTTTCATCGTTTGTGATCATCTGTTATGTGATGCAATGACTGATCCGGTGATTATTGTTGGAGGTGGAATCAGTGGAGTTTCTTGTGCTTCAACTTTGGCCCAACTGGATCCTGCGCTACCAATAAAGCTCATTTCTTGTTCTCCAACTTTAAAAGTAATAACAAATGTTCAAGAAAAGGGCAATTATTTGACATCTTTTGATGTAACGGAAAAACCATCAGACCAATTAAGCCAACAATACAGTAACATAGAAGTAATCAGTGATACAGTGATCAGTTTAGATGCAGCAAAGAAAACTATTCATTTAGCGAAAAATAATGACCAGCTGAAGTATTCCAAGCTTTGTATATGCACAGGGGCTCGTCCTAAATTGATTGACACTAATTTTCCTGACCATTTAATTGGCATTCGTGATACATCAACTGTTAAAGATTTCGAGAAACGGTTACTTGGTGCCTCGAGGGTTGTAGGTATTTCAAGTTTCATCACAGTGACAAATGCTATTGTTTTAGACTCAATAGTATTTTAATATCTCTATTTTAATTTCATTTTCACAGTTGTAGGTAATGGAGGAATAGCTACTGAACTGGTTTATTCAATTGAATTCTGTCAAATAATATGGGCAATCAAGGATTCATCCTTCGGCTCTACATTTCTAGATCCTGGAGCGGCTCAATTTTTTACTCAATATTTAAAGAAGGAGAAAAGATCAAAGGAAACAATAATCAAGAGAATCAAATATTCACAAGGAGCCGAGCCCGGTACCAGTAACGATGATAGTGGGAAATATTTACAAAATTTATACGGAAGTGCTCTTGGTCCAGATTGGAGTGATAATATTGAAATGAAAGGAGCTAGTAAAGAAATGAGATCAATTGAAATTGAATACAATTGCGAAGTTAACCAGATATACTTTAAAAAAGATTTGCCGCTATCTAAATATCAATTTATTGTCTTTGAGGAAGAAGTGTCTCAAAGTGGAGGTAAATAACAAATAACAAGACTCTATTGCGCTATTCAATCTATTAATTTGTTTTACTGATCTCAATTCTCTTCGGCTTAGACTTGAAATGGCCTATCTATGTAGAACTGAATAATGGAAAAATTTACGGCAGTGATTTGATAATTAGTGCAACTGGTGTCATTCCTAACGTTGAACCATTTCTGGAAGGTAACAATTTCAAAGTGGGTTCAGATCTTGGTTTATCTGTGAGTATTAATACTTCTTTTGGTGTGATTTGTGTTATTTATGTTTCATTTAATTTTATCGCAGGTCAATGATCAAATGTTAACAACAGAGAGTGATGTATATGCAGCAGGCGATGTCTGTTCAGCTGATTGGCAATTAGCTCCTCACTGGTTTCAAATGCGACTTTGGACTCAAGCTCGACAAATGGGAATATATTCAGCTTATTGTATAACATCGCACATACAAAAAACTGACCCGTCCCTTTATTTTCCTTTCGAGCTTTTCACGCACATGACATCTTTTTTTGGCTTCAAAGTCGTTCTTTTGGGACTTTACTTAGGACAAAAGTTGGACAGTCAATATCAAATTCTTCTAAGAATTAAAGATGGTGACGAATATGTCAAAGTTATAATGAAGGATGGTCACATGCAAGGAGCTCTACTTATCGGGGAAACAGATCTTGAAGAAACATTCGAAAATCTTATCATTAATCAATTAGATTTGACTGACATACAAGATGATCTTTTGAACCCGACTGTTGACATTGAAGATTATTTTGATTAATTGCAGTCATTTTCATTTGATTTTGTATCAATATTAATAATTTATTAGCAATCATTCATATTCGTATTGAAAATATTGAAAATTTGATATAAATTAAAATTTATATAAATTATGATTCTAGAATGATTGTCTATTGTCCAAAAAAATTGATCCTTTATCGTGTTTTGAAATTAAATTTCCAATTTCAAGTCTAATTTTGCACAAATGGTTTCATGTTGCTGTTTAAGACTATTAAACAGTTTTTCAATTGCAGAAGAGTTTTCACTTGTGTTCCAATAGTGCGCATTTTTTTCGGCTATACTTAATAAGCTGCGCAAGGATAGGCGAAATGATGATAAAAATAGTTTCCGTTTATCAAGATCATCACATTTTTCAAAAATATCTAAATAATAATCACTTAAGTCTTTAGCATTTTCCAAAATCTCTAAAGTTTTTGAAGAATCCTTTTCCCAATTAATTTGTCTCATACAGCACTGATGAGATTTGCTTAAACAATTGACAATTTTATCAACTGGTTCATTATTTGAAATCAGAAGCTTAGCATATGCTTTCCAAGTTTTGGCAGTTCCAGGTGAGGTGGCAACAATTCTACCTAATAATTGTAAAACCTTTTTGACAAGTTTCGATGTTTTCTCTCCCTCTTTGTAATCGATATCAGCAATAATGGAATTAATTAAAATCTCGATTATTTGATCATCTTCATGTTTTCCTTTGATATCAATAAGACGATGCCAGGCTCGAATAACTTCATCAAATGCTCCAACGTCAATAGAAACAAGCATATAATTTTCCCAAATTCGCCATTCTTCATAACTACACTTGAGCGATTCTTGTAAAGTTCGGAAAGCTCTGTGTTTATCACCCATTTTGATATATGCTTTGGACAAGTTGTTCCACGCTTCGAAATTGTCTGTCTCAAATTCAAGAACCCTCCGATAAGCTTTTGCACTAAGGGGAAAGTCCTCTGTAGCTAATGCCGCATATGCCAGACGAGACCAAGCAGGATAAGCTATCGAATTGATATCCAGCGACGTGACATAATATGGAATTGCTTCAGCATATTCTTTACGAAAGAAGTGCCAGTCGCCTAGTGATTTTTGAGATCGTGCGCTTTTATGAGATGAAAGTTCCCAAGCTTTAATGTAACAATCCTTATCGTTGGTAACATCACCAAGAATGTTTAACAAGTAAGGAGTTACTTGGATTTCTAATTGCTGCCTGACAACTAGCTCTGCTTTACCTCGCTGATCCAGCCTAAATTTATAAATTAAAAAAGTTGATTAATATTGGTACATGAAATATTCAACTACGAATCAGAAATTTAAACTTACCTGCAATAACAGTTGACCATTTCTTCCCATAGATTAAGGTCTTTGTAAAAGTCCAGAGCAGTTTTGACGCAGCCCATTGAAAATAAAGTATCAGCCAAGACTTTTTCTATCTTCCAGATTGGTTCTGTTAAAATTGGATAGAATAAATGCAGCTTCCATGAACATCCTGCACACGATTCGTTCTTAGTGGAGTTAACCAATTCTTCTAATTGCATCATGCCCCTTTCAAGCTTTCGAGATCTTGATCTTTCCAAAAGACTTCGGAGATATAAACATTTGAAGTTTACAGACCATACTGTACTATGTTCAATGAGGTAATCGAGGTAAGCAAATACCTCTTCTTGTACAAGATTATTGTCTGAGCCAGTGGACTGCATGAGATAAGAAATTAACCCACACACTATGGTTTCTTCTTCTTCTCGTAAAACAATGGCACTTGATTGGCCAACTTCTTCATCAAAAGTGACCTTTGTGAGAAGAGTATCATCCATGAGTTTTACATTTTTAGGAAGGAAATTGCTTATAACAGAATTTGAACTTCCATTGGTCGAACTACAACTAGCAATGGAACTAACCAAACTAGTTTCATTTAAATTACAAGCTCCAACAGCCTCCTCTGTATCACTTTTACGAGTGATCGAGACACTTAACAATGATTTTGATTCGCTTTGATACTTCGTTCTTTTTCCCATTTTTCCTTCCAAATCAATCTTTAAATTGCTGAGATCAATTGCTTTTTGAAGAAATTGAAAGGCTATTTGAACGTAACCATACCAGAGGTAGACTTGAGCAGCCAATGAATAACCTAATATCACAGTTTTCTTTTCTTCCAAGTTTTCCAAATGTTTCTCCAAGATTGCGATGTTTTTCTCCAACGATGCGTAAGTAACATTGCATGACTCGTGGATTATTATTTGCTTGATAATCAAAATACGTATTGTCCATAAACAGTCTTCCAAAGATTCTTCAGCCTTAAAATGGTGAAGAAGAGATGTCGCATAACAGAGTAGAACAGTGTATTTTAGTCTCGAAAAGGCTGGAATGTATTTATCATTAGGAGATAAGTAATTGAACGGATCGGGAAAACTTTCGTTAAGAAGCTCAATCAATTCTGGAGATAAAAGAGGATATTGGCAATGTGAGCAAAACCAATTGTATTTTATGAAAGCTTGAAGACATTCTGTAGCTATACATTTGAGCTTGTTTGGATCAATGGAGCACGCACTTTCAGAAGACGTAGTACTGGTCTTTAAAACATCGATGATTTCACTGACATCAAGAAGGTCACAATTCTGATTTGCTTCTACAGCCATGTTGGATTAATTTAATTATCAGAGTAAAACAAAAAGATAAGTTGAAATGCTAAGGTAAGACATGTGTTATTATATTATATCGAAACTATCGATATTTATTGAGAATTCAAAGTCGATTCGGTATCGATAATTCAAGCAATTAATCGTACGAGTAACCAAAGCATTTCAATTGCGAAATTTTGTTTTCATGTGTTTTTGTTTTTGTTCAATATTTGCTTAAATTTTTATGTTTTTATTGAAATTGCTTTCTAGAAGATGGCTATTGCTTTATCCAGAGTATCCAAGAAAATAACCGAGTTCATTAGTTTGTTATTTAACCAGTATAAAAATACTTTGGTCGAGATTAAAGATGGAATGGTTCAACGTCCAATTAAATCAGGTTTTCAGCTGTCAACTTTAACTGGACTTATTTACTTGTTGAATAATAATCCAAGCGAACAATGTTACCTTGATCAACTACTTACTGCTCGTAATGATCTACTCGTGGTTGGCGATAACATTAGGAATCCATCGAGCTTTGAATTTGTATCATTTCTTAATCAATGTCAAGGAGAAAGAACTTTGAAACGTCTTGATCTTGGTGTGATTAGTTTATTACTGCGAATGGACCTTAGCCCAGACTGTGCACTTTATATTAACCAGTGTGATTTTTTGAAACCAACCTATATGGAACTATTGACTGAGAGATTGGTTGATATTGGAGTTGCTGGTAGATGGAGAGTTTTGGATAGAAAAATGATTGATTATGATGTTAATCCAGATGAATGGAGTTGATTTTTGGTTCCAATTTTGTTGCATTTCTATTGTAATTAGTTTAAAAAAGATATTAAATTAAAAACAAAACTTTATTGAGTACCCAATAAAACAATCTTAGCAGAAATTAACACTACGTCCGAAACAAAAGACTTTATTTCCATAAAATTTAAACCGTCCAGAAAAAATCAGGAAGGGCGAAAACAATATTTTTGCAAATAAATCTCTACATTTTAAATTAATTAAGATTAAGAGGTTTTGTTATTCGTTTATGCTGGAGAGGAGTGAAAGGCGTTGTACCTCTAATGTATGGCTCGTAATTTTCAACATAAACATCAGCAGTAAGTTCATCTAAAGGTATTTCAGAATCAGTCTTGGCTAATTTCACAGCCTCATCAATTTCTTTCTTGATTTCATTGTCTATTTGCTTGAGTTCATCACTCGAGACTAGATCAGCATTCAAAATTTTATCTTTAAATGAAGTAATTGGGTCCCTTTGCTGTCTAACTTCTTGAATTTCCTCTCTAGTTCGATAACTGGTTCCTGGATCAGACATACTGTGTCCATGGTATCGATAGGTTGCTGCTTCAACAACAAATGGCCCTTTGCCTTGACGACAAGCTTCGCCAAGGAATCGAGTTGCTTCTCTGATTGCTAAAACGTCCATACCATCTACCCATAGTCCGGGAACATAGTCACCACGGGTATAGTATTCGGTACTAGCAGCAGCTCGATCAGCTGAGGTTCCCATACCGTATCCATTGTTTTCACAGATGAATATGCAAGGTAAGTTCCAAAGTTTGGCCATGTTATAGGCTTCGAAAACTTGTCCTTGATTGGCAGCTCCATCTCCGTATAAAGTTAAGCAAAGATTTCCATTTTGCTTATATTTGCATGCAAATGCGATTCCCGCTCCTAATGGTACTTGCGCTCCGACAATACCGTTACCACCGAAAAAATTGTAATTGTACATATGCATAGAACCTCCTTTACCTGTGATTTGAAATAATTGAGATGAGATGTCAAAAATTGTTTTCAAATTATTTTCCCAACAAAATTCAATAACTAGAGGTCAAGAGATTTTTAAAGGGAATTACCTCGAGCACAACCAGACTTTCTTCCAGTCAATTCAGGAAGAATAGCACTTGGAGGAACTCCACGAACAAGAGTCCAACCATGAGCTCGGTAAGCAGTGATAACGGCATCATCTTTCTTGATGGCAGCTTCCATACCCACAGCAACTGCTTCTTGTCCCGAATAAAGATGGCAAAAACCTCTAATTGCTTTCTCTTTGTATAAAGCATTAGCAGCAGCTTCCATCCTACGAATCCTCATCATTTCTCTATATAAAACTAAAGACTCGTCCCGAGTAACAGTAACCTCTGTACTAGGTCCTTCATCCATTTTGTGTAATTTATAAGGTTTAGTTTGGAAAGTGGCCTCATTGGACAATAATCTAGCACAGATCTGAAAAGTAGCCTGTTAGAAAGAGAACAGAAGGATGAAAAGAAAAAAAGGTGCAAAAGAAAAGGTTGAAATGGTTTTAAAATGAAAATGAAATACTAAATGAAAGACTAATCAAAACTTACCGGTGATATAGATCGACTGAGCAAAATTCCTTGCAAATTCAACATGATTAGAGAGAAAAATTGTTAAACTTAATGAACACTAAATAAAAAATAACTCAAACAAAAAAAAATACAAGTTTATATAACACAAACAACAGACTAAAAGACGAACCAAAACAATTAAAAACCACAATTGGATATCTAACAAGTTCAGCTGATTTGACCGACCTTGAAATGTAAAGGCAAACAAATTGATAGCAAGAGTAAACTACAGATGGCGTCTAAACCACACAAAAAAAGAGCGCAAAAAATAAATCAACTTTAATCAAAAAAGCAAATAAAATAACAAAAAAAGCTTATAAATAAACCAAACAAATGCAACAATTAATACATCAAGATTGATGAAAATACAATCAATCATTCAATACATTTCAATACAAGCCTAAACGAATACAAATTATCTCTGAAAAGCAATTAAACGCATTTTAACTCAACCTGTTCAATTTGATTCAAACTCAATTTTAATTGTTGAGAAAATTTCACCAAAAATTCATGTTTGGGAGTAAAAAATAGATGAAACTAAACAAATAAATTATGATTGATTCAAGGTAAATTGTAAAATCATGTAAAACATTGAAAATGTAAAGCAATGGATGAGTTGATTTAGATGTTTCAATTCATTGTTTAACCGCTAATCACGCTTTTAATGTCACAATGAAGGATAACAATTTGATTGCTTTTAAACAATCAGATTCATTTTGAAGATTAAATTGAAAAAGGTTGAAAATGAAGGCAAAGATTCAATAAAATAAAGGATTTACCTTTTGAAAGCGCTATTGAAAGGTAAAGAAGCAATTTGGTTAAATTGAAATAGTTTTATGATTCATGATTAACATGAATGGTAATTAGTATCTAACCAATTAATGTAATCAGGGAAGCAAAGAATGAATGAAAAAAGGTTAACATGAAAGCGTTTTAAGGTGAAAGAATCGTTGTTTTGTGTGATTTTATTGGACTATTTTTAATGTTAATTGTAATCATAATTTGGATCCTTTTAAAGGCTAACATGAAACATTGAACTGAATGATTACAGATGATAATGAGGATGATAAAGGTGAGAAGAAAAAGCTGATAATGTGAGAATTTTGGGTTCTAATAGAAGGTATGATTTGACACTCAACAAGAATGATAAATTGTTTCTCATTCAATGAGTTTTATCTATGTATTATATGCTCTTCTCATTTCATTCATTATCCTGATTGATGAGGAGCCAACTGTTAAACAAAATAAAGTGAGAAGAAGATAATAATGAATAGAAAAGATGAAAATGATTATTATGATGATTATGAGGGAAAACAAACCATGAATTACCTTTTAATAGACAAACCTTTCCTGTTCCTCCCAATCCCTCTTCACCTCCTTCACCTCCTTCACCTTTACCATTGATTCACCCTTAGTCTTTGACTCGACCTTATTCATAAACCTAACCTTAATTCACAGGTTATCGCTTGTTTCAACTTTTATCATCGGGTTATCCGGCATTATTGGACAACAAACTGATAACACTTTGAACAGCTCTATTAGCGGTTCAAAGCTTCCCAGATTATTTGATGAAAAAAATCAGATGCAAATCAAAGCCCAAAGTCATTCAAAATGAATTTAATTTCAAAACTAAAACCAATTCAAAAATTACTAGAAATAATGAGTCTATAAATATAGATACTTTTTAGTGAACTTCATTCCAAATTAGCAGATGAATATTCTGAACATCTTTTTGATAAAATAACCTCAAAATGCTATCTTTGAGAAACTCATCGATCATGAATCCAGATCAATTGTTGGTTAAGTTCGTCTTTTAAGGTTGACTTAAGAAGGTTCAAACTTATACCTTGTGTTTGGTCAACAAGTGTGAGTCCAATTGATTTCAAATGCATCTAACAATCTGGTTACAATGGCTCAACTCAACTCGTCAAAGGTGTTGATTTTGTTCTTGATTGCAATCAACTATTTTAATCGTTACATTTCAATCTTCTCTGTTCTGTTGGCAAAATTGTTTAAGTTGAAGGTTTGATTGGTAAAGTAAAATTGGTTGTTGACCAGAAAAAGGAGAAAGCTGATGTTGGAATTGAATTGTCTTGGAAGAAATCAATTGAAAGCAACTATAAATCATGGCCATTTTCATGTTCACATGTCCATTGATTGGTTAATCAATTGGATGATTAATTTACCTGATTTCCAGTGACAGTTATTCAATTGATTCTTTTCAAATGTATCATTACATTGTAATATCAATGACAAATTGAACATTAACAGCTAATCCAGACAATTGTTCAATACTGACATCAACCTTTCACCATTGACAGCTCAAGTCAACTTGATACATTTTTGGTTCCTTTTATGATTGCTAATGAAACTGCAATATTAAACTTTCATTGGTTTTGCGTTTTGTTTTGAGCAATAAAAGCTCAAGTGTTTTTATAATGAAAAAGATTGAACCATTTGCCCATCGATATGTACGGGGATGCAGAAAGGCGCAAAAAGCAAATCAAGTTAATCAAATTTAAACAATTTTTCACTTCACTTTTTGACATTCAAATAAATTGACTTTTGTTGCCCTAACAAGTTAACACAAGTTTACAAGGACAACGCCAAGGCAAGCCTGAAACTGCTCAAGAAACAAAGTATAAAAAAAACAAAGTCACTGTAATGGTGTGAGGAACAGCAAAGGGAATGCAAAAAAGGCAGGAAAAACGCAACCCAAACCTGAGAAGGCAAAATGATTTATTTGTTGAACGTTAATTAACTCATTTCAAAATTGGACACTTTGTTTTGGTTCCTCTCACTCTCTGTGTGTTGATTGTTAACACTCGAAATCAGATGTTGATAAGGATAACAAAGAGGAGAGAAAATCATTTTTAAATAAAAGGCAAAATTCAACTGAAAATGTGCAAATGCATTTAAAATGGGTTTCAGTGGAAACTGTTAGTTGAACCGAAAGACAATGTTAGCCAAGAGCGAAATCTCAAGATACTTTCAACAGATCAAACCGATGCTCGAAATGTTCATTCTTTCAAGAGACTGTTTCGAATGAATGTAAAAGAAAATTTTCGACTTTCATATCCTTCTATTTTGATGAGGATTAGATTACGATGCCGAACTTTATAAGAATTTTAGAAAAATTAAAACTTCTATTGAAAGCGCTCGAAGATTGGATTCGATTGGAATATTTTGATTTTTCAATTTATCGTGTTTTTAATTCAGTTTACAGTTTGGGTCGAATGACAGCTTTTTGGGTTTTTCTTTGCTCTCAAGTCTCAATATGTTTGGAAATTGAATGAACTAAAAGCGAAAATCCATTTGTTTCAATGTTAATTGATTTCTTCAGCAATTAGCCGCTGTAGCAGTGATGAACTGCTTTTTTTGCAGTTTGCAACATTGTACCTGTTCAACTTGTAATAGATGGAAAACTGGAAAAGTAAACTTGAAAAGCAATTAGGTGATTCAACAATTTACATGACAACAATCAATTGTTCATGCATCATTTTACCACCAATTATTAACCTTCAACTTGTTTGTTTCACACTTTCATTTGCACATTTACACCTTTATTTATTGTCTCATCAACCTTGATTGATTTGTCAAGAGACTTGAGCTGTTACATTATGTATAAATGAATTAATATTTTTATTAAAATGAAATACTGGCATCAAATCAATTGAAGCTCTCTAGACACCATTGTAATCGATATAATGTTATAATGCAAAATAATCCGATGATGAATATTAATGCTAGTCAAATGGGTTAACCTTTGAAGTCAACCTTCTCCTAACAACTCACAGCTTTGAAAAAAATTCAACGCTATTTCAGATTCGTTGGTCACAAAATCAACCTCAAAATCAATTCAAACCTTTGTGTCACTCAAGTCCTTAAAACTATAAATTTCAACTGCTTTCAAATCAAATCAAACCGTCATCTCAGGCCGCAAGGTTATTGCTATTGTTAGTTGATACTTCAGTAAAGCTTTAAACTCAGATTTGTCACAATAATGAAAAATAGTCTAATGATTCCTATTCAACTTGTAATCAGCATTTCAATGGCCATTAATCGCAGTCCAAAACCATGAATAGCTAATGAAACAATTAGATTGAGAAATGAGCGTGAAAACGAGAGTTGTAATGTTGCTAAAATGGGCAAAGTGTTTAAAATCAATACGATGTGGTTATTAAATGACCAGTGGGAGATCAAGACAACCAAAGGTTAACAAGAGATCACAATATTATGATAGTCAAACGAAATGATTAAAATTTACAAAAGGCCTGAAGCCTATTAACCAGTTTATTAGCACAAAAATTGATACAAAAAAGTAAAGATGATTTAATGGTTTGTCAAAGTTGAAGCGAAAAAATTAACTTTTTTTCCTCATCAAAGGTCCACATTTTGCCGTTAACATGGAAGGATCTTTAAGGATGAAAATTGAAAAATTGGTCGACAAACATTTCAAGTTTACACATTACGATTGTATATTATCATCATTATTCACACGTTGATTAAGTAACATGGTTGTTCATGTCAATATTTATCTTGATCATTGGAAATGTAAAACTATTTTCATTTCAATAATCATCAAGCAACCTTGAGCCGCACCTTTACCACCAACCACCACAACATACAATCAAGAGCAACTCCAAGCGTAATACGAATAACCATTTTTCAACATTTTTCACTTCAACTTCAAGTGTGATTCAAGTAACCAGAATGGTTCATCTCACGCTGAGTGCCCATGGAGTCATCATCATCATCCTCTTACCCTGGGTGTCTCAAGTCACACTTTACCTGGCAAATACAAGGTAAAGCTGAAACTTTTCTTCTTCCCTTTTCTCTCTCTCTCTTTTCGCTGTTCATCTGAACATCTTGGAGTGAGATTGATTACCAATGAATGAAAATTGTACTAATAGGATTGGTACAAGAAGATGGTGATTATCATGATGAGAATAAAGATTATCAGGGAATCAAATGACATGAAATGAATGGAGAAGAAAAGTGGAAAAAATTTTTCTTCGCTTCTCTCTTCCAAGGTGTAAACCTTGGATCGGAAGGAGCAGAGTTAAATGTCCACTGTTAAGTTGTTTACTTTGCAAACAGTTTCTTTCCTTTACCTGAATAAAAAATGATGAAAATGATGAGGATGAAGATAAGCATCTTCTTGAAAAGTTGAAATAACTTTTTTTCCTCTCTTTTGGCTCCTT